AACAACGAATAAAACATCCGTGAGCAAAGAGGCGTTTCTTTCAGCTACACTCTTTTTTTATAAGAACAAGTTTGTAAAAACATCAGTCTCAAAATTGGTTAAATGTTAAGAACAAATTAAGAACAAGCTGAGGCTGAGCTGCTGTAAAATGTAATTTTAAACAACATATTATTTGAAAAACGACGATTTTTAGCCATGTGTGGATGCTTTATCGGTGAATGTTCAAACGTGTCGGCAATTGAAGCTTGCCTCACTAAATTTGTCGGCAAGTGAGGCCGGAACACCTCTCTAGAGCGGAAAAGCTAGAAATCGCACTGCTTACACCTTATTGATTTAGGAACAAATTAAGAACAATCAATCGTCAGATTTTCGAAAAAATTGAGAACAGTCAGCCACAACTCAAAGTTACTGGTTCTTATAAAAAAATGTAATTTGTGCTGAAAGTCTAGCTAAAAACACGAAAGCTCGATACGCAAAAAAATAAGAACAACTTAAGAACATGCTAAGTCTCAACAAGAAAAAGCAATGTGTTTTTGAAGATTTTCTCCCATGTTAGGAGACCGTGCGACTTAAAATGTCATGCAAAACTGATTAAGTGTAGTCTTCTGTTATAGAAGCGAATTTGTATTTGTAGATTAAAAGTTCTTCTGCAGATGGCTAGTGCTTTGAAAAGGGGATCCTCGATAAAATTTTCCAAAAAACCACAGGAAAAGTTAAAAAAGAGTTAGGTATCGACGTTAGCAAAAAGGGGTCGGCCCCTTGAACCCCTTGCTCGTGCACCATTGTTTTCACTATATTTGAGGTAAAAAAAATTAAGAAATCACTATATCAAACCAGAATTCGTAAGAGATAACTTTTCAGAAAACGTTGTCGCAATGATAACGAGCATAAATTGCTGATGCGGGCGGGCGATTTGGCCCAAATGAAGAGATTACGTCACCCAGAACGAAACCAGACTGGCCCTTTGATACGCCGAAAATTACAAAAAATCATTCATAAGCCAGCTACTTTCCCACATCTAATACCACCTGTCTATGTGTAAGGATATCGTTTGTTAGCAATATATATTTTCCTCACTTAATTTAATTGCACCACTTTGAGATCAATTACAATAAGTACACTGCAAACACTTTAAAAATAGGACCGTGCGGCCGTTCACTAACATATTTGATATCAAATCAAGATATGTATTTGTGAAGCTGCTATTTTGAACATGGAATTTTTTTGTAAATAACTACGTAATCCGGCAGTTTGACTAGATGCCAAACAAACCGATACTAGAGTCAAGTAAGTCAAATAACAGCTAAAAGGAGGTCAAGAGTGCCATCGTAGAAAATACACGATCCCATGAATCATCAATGTACACGATAAAAAATACACGTGATGTAACCACTGTGGCAAGCGAGGGTCAATATTCCTGACTAGGGAACCACAATGCTTCGCCATGATCTTACGATTCTCGTCAGAGCAACGCATGACCAGTAGGTCAGAAATAATGTACAACAGTCAGCCCCTGGCCCCTCCACAATTCCAAATACGTAAAAGCCGATTAATCATCATTGAACTACACTCCTTTTTTATAAGAACCAGTAAACTTAAGTTCAGGCTGACTGTTCTTATTTTTTTCGAAAATCTGAGGCTGGATTGTTCTTAATTTGTTCTTAAATTAAAAGGGTGTAAGCAGTGCTATTGCTAGCTTTTTCACTCTAAGGAGGTGTTCAGGCCTCATTTGCCAACAAAGTGAGTGAGACAGCCTTAATTTGCTGACAAATTTGAATATTCACCGAAAAAGCACCCACACATCGCTAAAAATCCTCGATTTTGAGAGAAAGCGTTGTTCAAAATTGCATTTTGCAGAAGCTCAGCCTCAGCTTGTTCTTAATTTGTTCTTAACTTTTGACCAGTTTTGATGCTCGTGTTCTTATAAAATTGTTCTTATAAAAAAAGAGTGTAGGAGGCTAGGAGAAGGGGTGAGCAACTTCAGGACATTCTGTTACTCATGGTTGCATGTTTCCATGTTTGGGCACTTTGCGATAACGAAGGACACAATGTGGATACAAATTTTGTTTTACTAAAATCATGACGAAGTCGTTGCAAATGGGGATAGCCAAGAGGCTACAGTCCTTCATCACAGTTATTATACATTGTTAAATCACTTGCACAGAATGAGGCTGAATGGGAACAGCCAACGAGAAGCTTGGCAGTTTCTAAGCCATTTATGACTTTCGATTCGTTCCTAGAAGAGCTGGGTCTAAAGTGAGTATCTTTGATCAGATTTACGTAACTTCCCCCTCTCCATGAATATGCTTCTTATATCGGCCTCTACAGATAATCGTCATGTAAGTTATATATTCAGAAAAAATAATCAAAGTGAAAGCAAAACAATACAAAGCAAAACTAAATCGTGGCGAGAGCGTGTTCAAAATTAGTGCGAGATTTTAACCTTTTACCCTAATTTTGTTGAATCGGGTCACACAACGATCATTGCATTCCAAATGACGTCACAAATACTTTTCACTAATATTCGACCTTTCTTATGAAGACATTTCACAAATAAGAGCCCAGAATTTCTTCCATGTTTGCTGGGACTGTCTGCAAAAGTCTAACTATTTCCCGGGCCCACAGTTTCTCAAATCTTGCACAGAATCCTTGATTGGAAAAGATGAGTCGGTATTTCGTAGCAAAAGTGCATTCAGAATAGTTCAACCATTGAATTTTGTTTAAGCACACAAGTGGGGGTAGAAAAATACAACAGCTACAAATTTCATGATTACGGAAGACGAACTAGAAAGACGCCTTGAAAACGATGCCTCGCTCATGTATGAGAAAGCAATTATTCACGTATCAGACTGGACTTAGATTTCCATAGTATCATTGTTCTCATCCCTCTAATAAAAGCCTCACGGAGTTAGAGTAGGATATAAGTGATGAGAAAATTTCCTGTATTTAGAACGCGGATACAGAGGGCTGAGTAATGGATTACATCAAGCTAATTAAAACGTGATAGGGGGGCTGATGACAAGTTACCAAACCACTGAACTTTTTATAAGGAAATCTGCATACCGTTCAAAATGCCACAGAAGTTTAGATTTTTCCTTATATGGGGATCCATCGTGAGAAAAACCAGGATTACCAATCGTCAATAGCCCTGAGTGGTTTGTCAAATGAGAAATCTCTGAGCAGTTCATTAACGGTAGGCTCGCTTAACTATTTCTTTTGAAGGAACCCTTTGGTGCTAAAGATTTGACTTTGAGATCAAATAAAAGCTTTTTTAGTATTATGTTACAGGTATTGTGGCAAGTGAATAAATTGGGTTTTTATTGAAACAGAAAGCTTATCCATTTCTTTCATCTAACCTATTCCTTTCAATCTTATTCTGACTTGAATACATGACTTTTCATACAATTCGGTATCGACATGCGACGCGAAAGGTACAATTTTTCCATGCGTACAAAAGGATTTCTTAGCAACAGCATAGACGGTGTAGAAGATTTCCACTTCTGTAAAAGCAGTTCTATCTGAAATTTATAATAAGCAACCATAATGTAAGCATTCATAAAGCATATTGTTTTGTCAAGCTCAATCTTTTAGCAACAGATCTTTTGCTTTTAGCAAGATTTCGTTTCAATTCTAAAATCAAAATGAATTTGTGAGTGGTTTTATTCATTATGTTTAACATTATCTTCTCGTTACCTGAAAAGGCCTTCGTTGTTTTCTTATATTCGTCTCAAAGGGAACCCAACATGGGTCAACACTTTCGGCCTAACTGAAAATATAATTACCTATACATCTACAGTCTAGAATAGACGGACCCTCCTCCCCGAGCAAAGTTTTAACATATCTGCTATGAAAATAAACGCTCCACTTTGTTTAAGAAAAGGAGAGATTTTCTTTTGGACTACAATCATTTTTATACGACCACATCGGTATTCTGTGTAACAGGGCCGGCGAAACGTATTTGAAAGTGCAGGGGCCAAATATGAAAGTCTTGAAAGGGCTTAGGTTATGCTGCCAAAAAAATTAGGATTATTATATTTTAGAGATGGCCAGAAATAGTATCTAAAATGGATTTTGACTGAAGGAAAATCTGAGGCAATATATTTAAGTTTTGTTTAATCAATATGTACAAGTTTAACAAAAACAGAAGAACTATCAACTAAAATAAAAGCAAATAAAGCAATTTGTACACTTGGAACATTGTTTTGTAACATCTGATCCTAAATATTTCCTTGTACAACTTAGGCAATGACCATATTTCTTTGATCTTATTTCCCATATTCAAATTTATATATGTCTTTTATGGTAAAGACGTAGCAACTAAGATTAAGCCAAAAGCATCTGTAAGGGTTTACTAGGCACAGTTACTTGCAGAATGATATACTACATTTATTTCCACTTTTGGCTAAAGTTTTCTTTTAGCTCTGCAGAAAAGTGGGGGGGGGGGAGGGCTTAATGAATGCTTACACAGGGCCCCCGCTTTCGCCGGCCCTGTGTAAGCATTAAGAGAAATAACGGGTCTTTGCATCTAAAATTCTACATGCTTGCTATTATCTTGAGCAAAATATTAAAGTTTTTGCTTGCTTGAATACCACCTACTAAAACTAATTCATTCATAACTAATAAAACAGGGTAGTGCAGATGGGTATATTAAGCGATTAGGGTCACAGAATACACATCCAAGGGTTAGGGGTTGGGATCACGACCAAACTCTCACTTAGACTGAGGAGGGTCTCCAGTCTCTGCAATTCCTGGCGTAGGAATCACGAGGTGTTGTCACAACAAGAGGAAGGACAGGACCTCGATAAGCATAGCATTTCAGTGTCCTATAAACTACCTTCGTATTCTAGGTAGAAACAAATACAATTACAGTAGGAATGATGGTCATAGGTCTTTTAAAGTCAAACGCCATCAAAGCAGTACGTACGGATTTCCTCACACCTTTCCCGGATTTAAAATGTCTAAAGTTTGTTGCCAACTCTCGTTTCCATATGGTAAAACGAGGCCATTATATAATTCTCTAAAAACTTTGAAAATGGCGACGATAGCGCTTCGTAGGAGAGTGGCGTATGACTGTCAAATAATTTGTAGATGTTTGTGCTCAAATGCCACCAAAGCAGAGAAATCTAATAGAATGAATACAAAAGAACTTGTTGACAAAATAATAAGGGTGGATCATGCTGGAGAATATGGAGCAGACAGGATATATGCAGGCCAAATGGCGATATTGGGAAGAGATGGTTCAACCGGAGAACTTATTCAGGTAGAGAGCGAGTTTTTTTTACACTTTCGAAAAACAGAACGTAAAGCTTTAGAGGATAAGGTAGAGACCTTTAATTTTCTTGGTATAGAGAATAAGGAAAGGCCACATTGCGGCAGATATTTTTAACAGCAAACTTGAAAGTGTGACCGTGTTAGGGTTGTACGTAAAAATAAAATTATGCAATATTGTTTCCAATTATTTATAAGAAACAAAGGCCCACGTTGGACACTTCCTTTATTTAATTTTTTACGCCAAAGATTTCCCAGTAGAAATTCGACAATTTTTTCTATTTTCAAATCCTCGTATCTGAATGTCTGATCTGAATGCCATTTATGGCAATGGCAGTTTTCAAGGAGATCTTAGGAGTGCACAACCTTTCACCCGGAGTGCACTTGTAATAAATGTGCACATTTAAGTATGCAACAAATTCCCCAGTGATTATTGAGCTTTTCCATGTTTTTCTTTCGGCATTTATTTAATTTGTATCATTTTTTCCCTCACAGAGAAGTTCAATGATTGAAAGTCCTACAACTATCTTCTTCAAATCCTATAAGTTTACCAAACAAAGGAATTTTGTTAAATTTTCTTTTTTAAAAAAATAGCCAAAAAAATGATAATCCTAGTTGAAGATCTCAGGCAAGCTGAGTCCTTAAGAGGGGGACAGGGGGCACTGCCCCAGGACCTTAGGTCTAGGGGGCCTCAAAAGGACCTATGTGATAAATTGTTTGAAAGAATTTCAAAAAAAGACTGCAAATATTTTTCTAAAATGTATTTTAAGCTAAATTTAAGATTGTGGTCAGGAAAAATTTATGCTCACTTTGCTTGCCTGACCACATCTTGATAGCCCGGACCTCAAGAGGATCACTCAATTTAGAATGAAGTCATAGTCCAACTGTCATAGAATCTATTTGTGAGGCATAAATTTCTGTCAAGATATTTGCTACCTTTCTAATGCTGTATTAATATTCTCTGTCTCAATTTTATGTGTCAAGCACTTTGATGGAATTTTACAGAATTTTTGTGTTTTCGATTTTTTCAAAATTTTGCAAATTGTTTCTTAAATTTGTCTGCTTCAAGTACTTTTATTTTTAATTTTTTAGTTTTTATTTTTATTTTTAAAAAAACATAAACATTTTTTACTCTTTCAAAGATTCCAGTTTAAGGTATTTCATCACATCATCTTACTCTGCTAAATCATCTTTCCAAGTTTAAACCTTAGCTACAAGATAACATTAAAATTACAAAACATTATTTTCTTCCTTGACAGAAAATGTGGGATGATGAGAAAGCTCATCTTAGGAAAATGAAAAGTCTTATGATTGAAAACAGGGTTAGGCCAACATTCCTCTTACCATTTTGGAACATAGCTGGATTTGCATTAGGTATACAAATACTTTTTTATTTATGATGTAATTCTTTGAAACACAAAAGCCTTCAACCAAGATTTAGTCATTATTATCCTTTTTAGTTTATAGTTGTGTCATTTAACAAAATCAGAAATATTTCGATACATAATCTGGGAACAATTAGCACTTATGTGCAGTGCCATTGGTAGGGAAGTTGTATCCTTCTTCTTCATACACTGTTATAAAGGAATATACTGCAGTTTTGCAATTGTAGAGGGGGGCTCCAGCCCTCAACCCTTCCCTCTTCCGACAGCCCTGTTATATGTGAAATGTCAGTTGAAACATTTGATACGCTGTTTTTTTGAGTCAAATGTGAAATTATTAGTTTTTCTTTGTTGTTTTATTTGTACTAAGCTTTTTTATTGAAAAAATTAGGCATATTTTTTAAAATTAGCATTTTGAAAATATTTGGTTTTTTATTGCAACCTGATTAGGTGCTGGAACTGCAATGCTTGGAAAGGAGGCTGCTATGGCATGTACTATTGCAGTAGAAGAAGTTATCGGTGACCATTATGACAGGTTGGTTAACAGCAATGTAATCACATGTACAGTTAGTCAGACAGTCAAAGGCACAAATAATGAACAGGGGTTGATGTAGCAGAATGTAACACCATTGCAAATGTTTGAAACAGTCTGCCTGAAAGAAATTATGATTGAGAAGAGTCTTTTCTGATTCTTGCTAAAAGTTTTCTCTTCTTGATAGAATTGTTCTCAAACAATAAATGCATAACATCAAGTGTTGGTCATACTTTATGTCACACATCTGCAAAAATATTACTTCTTGTATTGTTATTTGTTATTCGACCTTCTGCACTTATTGAACACATGTCAACATAGGTGAGGTCCTAAACGCATTATTCTCCAGGTACACTTGTATGAAAGTTAAATTGGTCTCATCAAGTCGGCAATCGAGGAAATATTATTTCAATTCGACAAACGGTTGGAGCATTTCTGTTGTCTTGACTTTGTCCTGCTTCTAGGCAGGATGACAAAACCTTTGGAGAATTATGCAATAGTTTACAAATCCAGAAAGAACTTCACTATGTGCAGTAGACTCCATACAAAGCAGTTTAACACCTTTGTTAGTCATGCTACAGGCGCTAGTGCCCTCTGGCCTTTGAAAACAATTTCAAATGGTCATCAGTGCATGACAAATATCAGGGTAACAGTGCATAAATATTTATAAAATGGATGGTGCTAATGAGGAAGAGGTGCTTATTGGAAGTAATATGGTATAGCACACATTAAACAACTAATTTAGAAAGTTAGGAAAGCTATATTTCCTAAATAGTCTTATTGTTGTATCTATTTCTAAAATCAAAATCATGTTTTGATTTTAATTCAGTTGTTAGCCCATGTTTTTACTCAGATATGAATTTTGGTCAACAAGTTTGTTTTTGTAACTGCCACAACAATTTCATATAGCTGTTTTCTTATTTTGTTATTTACAAATTATTCAATTAATTACTAATTTGTATTTTCAAGCCAGCTACGTGAACTTTTAAGTGATGACCCTGAAACTCATAAAGAACTACTTGAGGTAATTGTCTTCATCTTTTCATTATTGAACCCCATTGTGAATGCTTTCTAAACCCATATATTTTTAAACCCGTATATTTTAAGGGAATAAGCGCGGCACAAACCGAATTTGTGGCTACAGATTTGGGGCTACAATTTAAAAAACAATAGCTAAAAAGCTCTTCAATGCAAGTAGATTTCAATTTAGAAACTGGAAGAAACTGCTTTACCTATGACTGCCCTATTGATTTGCAATAATTGAAAAAATGACACAACCATGTCTTGAATTGAATTATTTATGAATGGCTTGGGTTTTTAGACTGTTCTTTGTATGGATAAATTAAGTTTGAAACACAAGTCATTCAGAGAGAAGCTTGGTTAAAGGCTCCTCACTGCATCATCTAAGAACTTCAGTTAATCTCCACCATAGAGAATTTAATTTTTGAAGACTTAAGATTGTTTTTGTTCCTTTTTTGAAGGTGCATATGTTCCTTTCAGAGTCAAAACTTTTTATTCCAAGGGATATATTCCTTGTATCGCAGGGAGGAAAGAGTTGATAATATCATGCTTTAATTCAATTTTTTTCTGAAACACAATTCTTTTCAAACAAATAGAAGTACAGAGTTTTTTCTGTGGTATCTGTGGGGGTGGGCGTTTGCGTAGGGGTGGGGCTGGGGGCTCATTGTATGCACTTTACTGGAGTAAAGCTTCTTTCTGTAAGTATATTCTGCCACAGGTACTCATAAGCAATCTTTTTTGAAATACTAAGTTCATCACAACATACTGAAATAAAATGTTTTTCGGCCAGGGCAGTTTGTAGAAAGTACACAATTGGAGGCTTCGTTCATCGAAATCCCTTACTCTCTGTTTGGCATGTCTCTGTTTTTCTCTAACACTAGTAACCTTATTAAGATCCCATTTGAATAACCCTTATCAGTGCCTGTATCTAATCTTGACACCACTTTCATCGTATTACAAAATATGCATATTTTATTGTGAATGTTTTTAAGATATAACCTTTACGCCAAAACAAACTTTGATTAAGTGCCCTCTGAAGAATCTCTCTACTCATTTGATCGTTTACATTAGGAAATAGCTAGATAACAAATCATTGAGCAAAGCACAAACGCAAATGGCTATTATCCACTTTTGTAGATAATACACAAATTCCGAGATGAAGAAATGGAACACCACGACATCGGAAAAGAACAGGATGGGGAGAAGGTAAACTATTCATTGGTTAAAATATGCACTTGAGAGAAAACTGTTCTTTTACGTCAGCAAACTATCAAGTTGTTACATCACCTACATCTTTTTGTTTAAACTGTAACAAAGTTACATCAAACTATGCTGTTTTGAGAACTGTAACAAAAGTCTGTAAGCTGCCAGTTGGCACATTGCCCAATATTTTCATATTTGTATAGAGTACACAAGTTGTTTTTCACGAGAACACTTTATCTAGGCCTTTTCGCTGCCACAAATAATTTCAAAAATTCAAAGTGATTGTCAATAGTTTACGTAAGAAGTAAGACTTGTGTCCGACAGAGTGGTCGGAATCTATTTAAATTTGTTTCAATCAAAAACAGATAAATATTCAATTGTAAATGAAAGTGATTATCTTTTCATATTGATGTAGATTAATGTATTTGCGACGATCCAAAAAAAAGAGCGATAAAAACTCCATAATCATGGTCTCTGACGCACGTGTCAGTCCCATAGTATAAACAAACGTTTGTGAAAATATCAAAACAAGTCATATATGCTATAAGAGCCCGGTTAGCAGCTGTAAATTCAGTCATATTATAGTCGTTTACATGCAGAAGACTAATAATAAAACCATGTCAAAAGTACAAGTAGGGATTTGACCAATCGTTTAACCAAGAAACACATCGTACGGGGTACGGGTTATAAAAAATAAGGTCAAGACAGGTTTGCATACAGACAGTTTGTAGGTTTGCATAGGCCCTAATCTCGGTCATCGACCGACGTGTTTTCTGGGCGCTCGTCACGAGGTTTTCAAGACCATGTAAATAACAGAAGTGAATGATGTTAGATTCAGTGGCGATCATGAATAACAGAGAACATGATATTTTGTTAAATTCACTTGGGCTCTTCCCACTCGGAGCGGAGTAACGACCGCTTTTGCAAAGTGCAGAATCGTATTACTGAGACATTGTTTCCGATAAGTAAAGAAAGGTGAGGGTAATATCCCCACAACCCAACTGATAAAGCAAACATGGTTAACATTTCGCTCTTAAATTGTCTGTCTCTGAACCAAAACCAATTCATTAGACGTTCCTTAGTTGAATTGGCGAGTACCAGAGTTTTAAAATCCCAATGCCAACAAGGAGCTAGAAACGGCTAGAAGATTTTTCCAAAAGGCAATTATAACTTTTAAATTGAATGTCGAATATCAAATCAGGTTTGATATTCATTTAGAATTATAAAAATTCTGACTCAACGCCCTTTGTCCTCCTGAAATAACAAAAAGCAAAACAGATGTAATATACCCTAGACTGTTGGTCATGTTCAACTTTGATAGCAGATTTAACGAAATTAGCTATTTGATCATTTGCTGAAAGAGGACCAAGCAACGCATTTCCTGTATTTTCTAGGCCCCGTTTTATAGTGTCATGAAAGCAGTTATTCAGACTGGATGCAGAACAGCAATATGGCTTTCAGAGAGGATATGATGAGTCACAAAATCTGCCAACATTTTTCTTCCTGTCTTCTTAGTATGCACACAGATCATTGCTTTTGTTATATGAAATTTCTAATTTAATATGAATGGTTTTAGATTGGTATTTATTTCTTGTTTTCATCTCTGTTTGAATAACAATGAGAAAATTTGGAATTTCTTGAAACGCAAGAGCCCCACTATATAATTGCGAAGCATAGCTATACTGGAATAAACATTACCTTAGTAAACATAGACATATTGTCGAAGGGTTTAATATTTTACATTATTCGTGCAAGAATTGAGTTATCAGGGCAAATTATTCAGTTTTTTTCCAAAGATCAATGCCGATATTCTTACCTTTTAAAAAACAAAGTTGGTAAAAAAGGCCGGCACGGGAAAACATTGGACGTTACCCCACGTGTATCCCGCCATTTATTTGGACCTTAAAATTCAATGGAGGACCTTATTTGGACCTTAAAATTCATTAACGCACTTTTCATTAACTTGTACGCAATGTCAGTGAGAGCAAGAATATTAAAAAACCATAAAAAAACTTTGAAAATACAGCCTCCGGTTGTAAAGTTTTCAAGACCTGCGGCTGCTTTTAACATCCATATTTAGCTGTACGAGCGAATGTCGGTGGCGCTCAAAACTTGGTTGTTATTCCGCGTAGCAATACTTACGAAACTGTGCCAATATCAACAGGTGCAAAGAAAGACGAAGCACCAGTTCCTTTCTCTGTAAAATTTAGATAACGAGTGCTTTTTCTTTGTATCTATTTTGTTCTAAATTCTTTCATGCCAAAAAACAAGTTATTTTGAATTCGGACGTTTGGGTAAATGTCGGACGGCTTGTATAGCTATTTCATGCACGGGTCTGAAATGACGTCATAGGACTAGTTAGCACTTTTGAGTTGGTTTGAAGCAGACAGAAAAAACTGCCAACTTCTGAAAGATGCAACAAGCAGACACAAGTTCATGGTTTTCTTTATATTAAATATTTACATAAGATTATACAAGCTAAAATATTCATACCTAATAAAAGACATCCAAAAATGCAGGTTTCATGACAGAATCAAAGGGTCTTCAACTTCGAAACCCCACAAATACTTTCTAAACATAATTGTTTGTATAGTTTAAATTGGAAGGCACAGGTCCTTAAGTCTTATTAGCAAGCTTTTGGTTACCATTTCATTATACACTTCTCGCATACACTATTGTTTGTTTACTGTCGGCTTCTTAAGTTTGAATATCTATTAGATTGCAATTCCTCGACTAAAATAAATGATAAATTAAATGCAAACAAAAACTAACTATTCTGCTGCTCAAGACTCAGCAGTCCTTAGTACATTCGTGTTTGATGTCGTTTGTTTACCCGTAGTGATGTCATTATTCTGGGAAGGCACTTGCTTCACTGGGTTACCATTTGCAGGTTGCTGTGTCCATTGCAATGGTAGATTTCCCGGTTTTTTCCCACCTGTTTTAGACCGGTTAGCCTGTTGCGCTTTTTGGTGCATTTGAGCTTTTGTTGATTTCCCAGTTCGGGTGTTGTGAGAACTTTGACCAGGAATTTCATGGAATAGCTTTGTAATTGTACCAACTGCTTTAGTCCGGCCTTCTCGGAAAATCATCTTGGTGCCAGCTTGTATGAATTCCGGATTTTTAATGAAACGGAATCGGCATAGTGCCCGGTCACCCGTCCGAAGGTGTTCTCTGTCCATAGACAGAATTGTTGCTGTCTGGCGTAAACTACCACAATGCACTGCGGCAAAAATTTAATTCTTTAGCAAGGTTAGTAGAAGTCTGGCTATGTAATTAAAAAAATTCCGCAAATTGCGCAATATACTCCGCACATGCACTTCTCTGAAAACGGACAGTAACGCTAGGCGCACAAGTCTTTCGAGTGGGATAGAGGGTTTCGTGGTTGGCCTGCCGTTAAATGAGTAGGTTTGCAATAGATAAAAAACACATCCAAAATTCTAGAGAGCTCGATCAGACAAGCAATTATTGTCACAACGACAGCATCAAATGTAACGCGGGAATCGCTGTCTGGTTGCAATTTGATGATAAGGATAGGCACGACGATCATTGTAGAAAGAGGCCATGCAAGTTCATTCCAAGAAAGTTACTGATTCGACACTGAGTCAATAGCCTTTAAATTAAACCAGTGCACGTTATATTATTGATAAATTAATGTACCTAAATTTAAAACATGTTTTTCAAAAAAGATGTACGGGACATGGATAAGATTCAAAAGGCACGTTGAGTAGGGCGTGACCCACTAAAATGTACTGTGGCAAAAATTTTAGTCTTTCAATAAGGTTCGTATCAATGGGCAATAGCTCTACGTTTCGTCTCGAATACGTTTCAACCAGGCGGAGGTCTATATCGGTCAAATTTCTCTCCTAATGCCAAGTATACTCATATTAGAGTATACTTTACAATTACGTCAGAACTGTTTGCCGCAAAAGCCTTTCTTCTATATATTTATGCGTTATTCTTTGTAAATTGCTCAAAATGATCAAAGTTTATAGAAAAGTATGCTAGACCATTACTAGCTTCAAGTGTTAATCGGTAACCTTGCTCTTGAAAAATCCCTGGTGGCAAAACCGAAGTCAACTTCAGCTGGTGGTGTGGCTTATGGGGACTCTGATTCGACTATTTTGAGTTACCAAAGCAACGTGTACAGAATAAACTGGTTTGGCAAATGAATTTGGCTTGAACGCAACAGTACTTACCCATTGCTTGGTACCTTGTCGTGATTGTCGTAGGATGATGCAAAACGAGCACCTCGGCTTCAAATTCCCATGTTGCAGCTGGTTCTAAATCCCTTGATGTCATCACCATTCCTTTGCGAATGTCTTGTCTTTTGATCTGCGAGAGAAGAATATTATTCAAAATTTCCAAAATAATTTCCAAGAGAGAAATTTCCAATTATGCAATGTTGAGAAATTTCGTAGGGAAGATTTGACAAGAACGATACAATTTTCAGAAATTTACAGCATTGAATATCAGTACCTGTCAACAAATGTTCTAGAAAACTGCCTACTTGGATGCAGACAAGTAAAAGCCGCGAAAACAACATGTACTAATCTACTTTCAAGATCATAAAATTACTTTATTTCTGATATATCCAAAACGAAAAGTAAACTGTTAAAATGAAAATGACATTTATCATAGACTTAAAGGGCCTGAAAGTGATAAAATCAGAATGAAGAATATTAGGCTAAAAGGCAAGTCTGAGAATTGGCCTGTGATGTTAACAAGAACATTTCTCGATTCTGTAAGATGCAAAACTACTTACCTTCTTTAGAGAAAAAGATGCTGTTTGGCCAGCTCTGACTTCCTTTACTGGCATACGTTTACGATGAACACTCTTGACTGGCAACGGCTGGAAGCTACCCGTGGAGTCTGGGCCTAACAATAAGACATCGTTAACATGGACGACGCCTTGTAGTGTTGTACCAGACACGACAGTTCCTACACCCTGCAGGGAAAGATTTTTACATCAAGACAATGACAACAGGTAGTTAGTGATGTTACGAAAGAACACTGGATTCATTACTATTACAGGCAGGAAAAAATACTTGACAAATAAAAGGTCTCTATCACGGAAAGGGGCCTATTTGATGGGAGTTTGCTGTGTCTTAATCGGTGTAATCGTTAGTTGGTCAAAAATAGGTGGTCAGTCGTAGAAATCGCGATATCATGGAGCTTTGCCTAATCTTAAAAAACATTAAATTTGATGCAATAGAGAAAAAAGGTGAATGAGACAACATTAATCAGACTTATACAAACTGATACTGGAATCAAGTCCAATATACATTTTTAGGCAGGCTGTAATACCGCCACAGTTTAAATGCACCAAGAACTCTTTCTGCTAGTTCCTTATTCATTAATAGTTGCCATAACATTTTTTGATTCCCAAAACTAGTCGTGAAACTTGGCATTTGACTTGGCGATGATAAAATTCTGGGACGGGTTGCTAAGCGGAAACAGAAAAGGCTTGGAAAAACTTTGGCAAAATGAAGACTGTGATTTGGAGACTATTACCAAGGTTAAATGAACAACGAACAACAAATAATCTGCACAGGCCGGCAAACTATGCTTAGGAAAGTCGGACTATGGAATCTTCTTCAGGTTCGAATTAATAGCCTGCGCGCCGCAGACTGGATTTGTTTTGCCAGAGATGAAGTTAGTTGAATGGAAAATACTAAATTCATATCTTGGAAAACCAGTCGAGTCTGCTCGCAGGCTATACTTAGAGCAACCGCTTATCTGCGATAGCCGGTAGCTAGTGCAGATACTTTTAATTCTGGACATTGACAATGGTAAGATACCTATAACCTCCAACATACTCCAACCTTAGTCTATCCAACAAAAGTAGGACGCAATGATAGGTATATTTACCGGAACAGAGTACGTATCATCAATCTGGAATATGGCAGGCTCGTTTGCAACAAAGCTGCTTCTTGCAGACAGGAGATTTAAGAACATCTTTAAAAGGTCAATGTTTTCTCCTGTTACATTAGAAATTTGGAAGATCGGACATATCCTAGAAAAAGAAAAAAAAATTCTTTATATATACATATGAAAAAGACACACATATTACCCGAACATAAATATAAATCTTGAGCAGTATACAAGATCCCAAAATCTAAATACTGTTTTCTTCTAGATGTATTGGTGAATTTGAACATAACTAAAGGTTAGCTACGATCTGAATAAATTTCGTATTGGTCACCACACCTAATAAAATCATCAGATTTCTACGTTTATTCGTAAGGGTGCATCGATGATTTAAACCCCGTTTACACGAGACCTGGACCAGATCCGGATACTTGTGGATCCGATCTCAGGCGTTTACACAGGATCCGATCCAAAACCATTTGCATTTTCATGTGTCGGGTCCAGGTGAGATCTACAGATAACGAGCAGGCGATTCTAAAAAATGGCGAGCATTAGACATTTTTCAGGCAAACTGAGTTTGAAACAAACAGTCCGAACTGGTCATTGGAGGGGTAAAGCGACTGGAATAGCTGTTTACAAATAACAGACTCATAGAGAAAATGAAAATAAAAAATATGCTATAAACATATTTCTAAGACTTCTGGATTCATCTTATCGTACAAAGTTTTCCACACAGTAGTAAGTCAACTTCGTGTTTGGTTTTCTGACGCCAAACTCACGATCCGGATACTTTTGGATCCGATCTAGCCCAGATCTCGTGTAACCAGGGTCTTAGTGTTCATCCACACATAAAACAAGCATGCAGACAGTGTCTTTGCAAACCCCTTGCCATTTTAAAAGCAATGTCCTAAATTTAATTACAAATAGACAATGGGTCAAACAAAAGGGCTAACGACTTCAAACACAATACATAATCAGTATGTAGGATATTCCAGAAAATAGGAAGAGGTTTAAACATCACTGAACGATGTAAACGCCTGTGGCTGAAAATTAAAGCAACATTATACAGTTGCAAGCTGATAGCTTCCTAAAAGGTTTTCAAATTCAAGACTACAGCCCTTGCTTTAACTGTCGTAATAGCTAAATTGTTTTCTGAAACTCTCCCAAGGCTGTTTCCCCTCCTTCCATCCATCACAAAGTTTATTTATCACAATACGTATGACTAGCTGTGAAAATCTAACTCGTATAAATTTTATAAAAGCCTTTACCAATTTAATCACCATTGTAAGGGGATGATGACATAATGTGGAGGTAACTAAAGCCTGGAGGAGTTGACCTATGAGCTTGTGGTGTCCCAACTATTTAGCAAGGCTTTTAAAAGAACTGCTTGTTTTATATGGTTTTCTATTTATAAAGGGTTAAAAGCAGGTTTTTGACATCACCAACAAAAAACTATATCAAGTCATTAATGAAACGGCAAAACCAAGATGGAGGGCATAATTAGGCTACGTCACGTACAATATCCGATACCCAGCATACAAACTATGACCAGCAGATTATACATACAGACGCAATTGTGTAATGAAAGTCACAGACTTGGCTAAACCATATAAAATACCTTTCCGAGGTGAAGTTAGAGGCAGATAAGATGAGATCATCTTTATTCTGGACAATCACTGGTATCTTACGGCATCCAGGGGACTTCAGTATTCGACAGAGCAATTTCATTGTCTCTTGCAGAACGTTAGCTGGGCACATATCAATTTTAGTGACCACAACAAACACAGGAACATTCAAGGCCAAGGCAAGCCCAAGGTGCTCTGAAATAAAAAACAAACATTTTCATATGACAGTCTGAAACCATTGCAAGAAATAAATGTGACATAAAAGTATCAAATTAGACACATCCAATTTCACTGATTTGGGGGATCTTTTCTTAAGCTATTTCTTGAGCAAACGTAGTTGGTATTTTTCTTAATAGCACCTTAGAAGACCATTCTCACTAACGTATCCCAGATTGGAGAAGCTTCAACGGGGGGTAATGGGAAATAAAACTCACTTCGATCTAATCACTAACTAACCCATTCAAAAACCTCGGCGTTGGCTTTTTTGGTCATTGGAAAGTGATTATAAAAAGATTATTAGCAATATTAGCAATAAAATGATGACGACATCGTTACTATGACGGATGCCAAATTTCTTGGGATTTCTGACCGCAAACAAAGGCTAATTAAACATTTTTACATATTTGGTCTGGTTTTCATAAAGAACGTAACTCTGCAGTGTATATTTGTGGTTTAAGTGGATAAATTAGTAACCTCACGTGGGTGAATTTAGTTAATGTTCTTTCGTTGGCTTCAGTATCAGCGAATGACGACTCTGTCGCCAAGAAATTAGTACTCAGGGAGCTATTTCTGCTTCGTTATTAATAGTCTGGTATGAAAGGTCACTAAATATGGAAGTCCTGCTTCATGTTCTATTCCTCAAACTGACGTTTCACACGGCTGGGGAAGGGCCTCAAAGACTTTAACAAATATAGCTTGATGAAGGAGTATTGAAATTAATAGACTTATTATCTCATTGGGTACAAAGGGTGGCACTGATCGATCAGCATTCACAGATGACCACGCCTTAAGTGAACAGAGGCAGTAACGTTGCTCTTGTGCATCTCCCCCTACTTCGCACTAATTTTGCATCTTTATAAGAAATCTACTACACGTGTCTAGTTATGATTTATAAGTCGTTAAGGGCATTTAGGATTTGGTATGCGAATTATAAGATTAAAAAAGTAATTAGTTGACAAAGAATAATTGATTGTCAAAACTCTAGCAGCTGCAACATGGGATCAGAAAAAAGAATCCCGATTCTTCAATCAAGTAAAAGGTTAGAGGAAACTGAAAATATTAAGTTAAACGTCATATTTTGGTTATCAACCAATTTCTCGTACTTTGAAGAGATTTGAAGTATCAAAGCAATATTATACTTGTACTACACACAAATATTGCCTTTTCAGGCATTTTTTAGCAATACTATTGATAACCGCTTATGAATTGCTTACCAAATTCCAGTTATACAGATTTCTATACATTTTAACCTGCTTAATGAGACCCTTTTGTGTTATACTTAAAATGGAAATTTATGACATTACCTTTTGTCATACCAACCACACCCATATTGGAGCCAATCTACGACGAAAAGTGAATTGTATTTAAATCTCATTTGCACAAACAGTATTTCAAACACTTATCTAGATAAGAGCATTCGCAAACGTCCTATAAAATTGGCTTAATTTGTCCAATACATCAAATCTCAAAACGCGGGATTCTTACGTCACAATCTTAAAGGTCTACAAATCATGCACTTGACCTTTTGCCTAAATAATTGCCAGAGCTGTAGAATCACAGAAAAGAGGTAAGACAGAAGAAAATTATGTTCATTTAGAAGGTTTCATTGTTCTTTTGGACCGGGGAGAGCCACGCCGTGCCCAGGAGCAGGTCCAATGCTTTGGCCCCTTCTTATGTGAAAAGATAAACATAAGATGTGTTTAGCAAGTTTTAGAATGAATATAATTTTATTTTTTATGTCTAGTTCATTAATTACCATGTTATCAAGTTACATGACTCTAGGAGTCAGACCTGATCCATTTTCGGTCCAGGTAGGCAAGCTTACCTTGGAGGGATTAATGAAATGTAGTGCAATTTTATGCATGGCTCTGTACTGAATAGGGAAAAATAGCTTTTTGTATAGAAGAAATAAATAAAAATTATGGTTCTACGCTAACATCCACAATACCTGGTTGTGGTTTGCAAATACCTCAAATTGTCTCGCATATCTCAAATGACTGAACCTTGTTCAGTTAATGCAACAATTGGAGTCAATGGAAAGATACGAACCATCAGCATGGCGTAGTCTGGCGAATGCCCTGTCATTCCAAATACTGTTGTTTTGAGGTATCTTTCATGTCCAGCCAAATCGATGAAGGTGATAACCTGAGGGAAAGCAAAGATGATATAAAAAAATTGCCATTGCACGAGCATAGTACAAGAGAAAGGACTGTGAAACTGTCGTATTAGAGGCAGCTGGTGTTGGCAAATACGAGTCGAGTCGAGAAAAAGATGGAGCGAGCAGAAACTCCAGGCAATTTGAAAGGAAACGTGCAGAAACATCAGTGGCATCAAAATAACGCATCATGTTGCATACGTACTAAAACAACCAACGATAAGATGATGTCAATGCAGTTGCGGCGCTACAGGGGGACTCGGCAGGATCAATTTTTAATTCGTCTAGATTCGATGAGAAAATTTTGAGGGGGGGGGGGGTAATATTTTGGCAACGTACTTTTTATGATGTAATGCTATGATTCTTCCCTTTACGTAACTGAAAGTTAGTCGTGGGCCTTCATTTCAGGTAAAATTGGCGTTCCATTTTGGTAAAGAGCGTTTTTGGTGCATAAAAGGGCGTGTCCTAAAGTCCCCCCCCCCCCCAGAGCTTAGTCAATGGACGAAAAAGCTAGTGACATCGTGGTAGTAAGGTATGCTTTTATTCCTGTAAGTTAATAGCGATCACTTTTAAGTAACAACCTTTCTACCCCTCCCCCTCCCCTAAAGCTTATACTCAGATCAGCGTTAGCATTTAAAATGAGCAGGGAATCATTTCACGTTTTTTGTTTCCACCAGAACCTTATTTTCTAGAGACGCTGAAAAGGTGACAAAAAGGGAGGCAAGTACCTCATGAAAGGTTTTATTCGATCGAAAATTCGCTTGACAAATTTCTAATGTTTTTTGATAAACTGCAGGTCTCCAATTTGGCATGTAAACCAGAACATGTTCAACAGCAAGCAGTTATAGTACCTTTTTGATAAGCCAAACCTATCACTCCTTATGAAAGAGAAATTCCTGAGAAACACAGCATTTTTCATTCTGGGCGATGTATAATGGAATACTGAAGAAAATTTTGCCAAGATTTCAGCTGTTAAAAGGAAATGCTTCACTGCGGACCGATAATTGAAATGGGTGAAAGTTACTAGATTATAGCAAGAAAATTCCCTTGACCCATCGCTGCTATAAGTATTGAACGTAGGGTGTTTTTTACTTTAATGTTTAGCAATTCCTAATAAAAGTTTTTACATAGAAAACCTAAAATAGAGAAGAAATACCTTTGCTGAGTCACGGCATATCCGTTGCCAGTCAAGAGCACCACCTGTAGAGACGAAAATGTGTGTAAGCTAAGACAATCATTAATTCAAGGTCCAAAGATGTACGTCAAATTGAGCCATTAGAGTTCAGAAAACGCCTCAACCAACATCTGCATAAAATTTTGCTTTATTCGCCTTCTTCAAAACGTATATTTTGGAAAAAAGCTTCTCAGAAAGAGAATTTAAGCATAAGCATCTATGGTTTGGTTTTTAAATTTGTCCGGAGGAAATAGAAGTTCAAGCAAAATAGTACATTCTTCACGCATTATCCAATCTTGCCAAGCTATGCATTGGCCTACCTCAAAGCTGTGGAATCGTTATGTTTTCTGGACTCTAAGCTATGACGCTACTACAAAAGAATTCTTTAAAGGCAAGACCTTTTTGTGCATATACACTCAAAATTCATAAAACATGGCTTTGAAAAAACAAACATTTTATAACATATTGGCTAAAAGCTTTTTTGTCACTCTTCAGAGGATAGAACGTCAGAATAAGGGTACGAAAAAACACGATGAAAAATATATACCCAGTTGTGGATCGAAATAGGCCAAACAGAAAAACGCAAGCACAAGACTGTTATAGTTAACCAATCAGTGCTGCATGCCTGAAGAAAAATTACCACTAGAGTCCAAGAGAGAAAACGAACTCCTTCTGTCTGCACAATGGCGGCTTTTTAGTTTGTATGTAGACCGATTCCAAAACTGCTAGATGGGAAGACGACCAGGCTCTGCCAATTATCTGAAACATGTCGTCATGTTGTAAAATGTTTGCTTTTTTCAAAGCCATTTCCAAGTCCTGTGCCACCAAAAAACTGTTCACATTTATAAAACACTTGCATGATGAATAGATTCATGGTTATAGACTTACTGTGTGAATCTGGCTTGTTAACAATATCTCCCTTGCTGTCAAACCCAAGAATATCGTTGCCTACACTGCTTGTTCTACCAGATTCAACTTCATGTTTATGTTTGAATAGCTTCAGACGAGCAGTGCCCCTTCCATCATCCAATGTACCATGTGTGAGAACACCAAGCAGTGTACTTTTCCCAGCATCTACATTACCAACCACTGCCACTCTGTTGATTGATAGTAAAATGATTAACTATTATGCTATAGGATTAACTACAAAATGATTGACTACTATGTTTGATAGGATGGGTTCCAAAACTGTGTTTGATGTGTGTACCAGCAGCACATGTCTTAAAATGTTTGGCACTGAAAAAGGAAGAAAAAGAAAGAAAAGAAGAAGGGTTTTCCAATTGGGTTGCAGATCCTTCTGCATGATGCTGTGATTCCATCATTTCTTTGTTCAATAACAATGATTTCTGCTTGACATAATTTCAAAGGACATTCATGCCTTAGCACACAGCCCCAACACTAACTGTAAAATTTTAAATAATTTTATGTTCATAACTCAACATTCATCATACTAACTAAAATTAAAGACTGAATGCATTGATTATCACTAGGCATCCGATTGCACCAGTTAATCTTTGAGTAGCTGAAATTAACATATGTTGCTTCATACCTTACTTCACAGAAATCTTCCTCTATCATTTTTTCTCTGATCAGGTATTCAGCTATTTTTCCATCATCAGATTCTTTCTCCCTTAGCAAAACAAGGTCACAGTTCAGGTGTTCTGCCATGCTCTGCAAAGTTGCCACAGATGCTTTCATATCAGCATCATTCAGGCCTGAATCTCCACCCTCTAAATGATCAAAGGAAAACTTGATTTCTTCTACATGAAACAAATGAATCTCTAGGTTCACATAAAAATAATAAAAACAAGATAAGAAGCAAAAAGCAGTTTGATCCACCTCTTTCACTTAGCATTTATAAATAAAAAACTATTTGACTAAATGAAATAGTTGTTTGCAGCAGACCTTTAAGCATAAGAAATGAACAAATATACTCGATGAACTAAAATTAGGACTTTATTGCAATTTTTTCACCAATAGCATAAAATTAGAGGCAATCATGGATAAAAATTGGAAAATTTGTTAGTAAAATTTTCCATATATTTGGAGAGTATATACTTTGATTTGAGAATAACAATATTTTTGCAAGTAGTTTTTTGTCCTTTGTAAATTTAAATTAAAGCATGTTGAACAAAAAGGAAAAAGTAAGTTACCACCGATTCCAACTTCATAAATAGTTTCACCCATTCCATCCTTTATTCTGCTACGGATTCGACTGAGCAAAATATCATAGTCATCATCTGAAGGTGAAACTAGAGCAACCTACAATGATAGAACCAGATGTCAAAAGTTTGGTTATTGCTCAAAATGCAAATCTTACAGAATAATTTGTTCTACAAAGAATTAATTAAAAAAGAAACTATTAATGTATTGATAACTTAATCTAAAATTGAAAATTATCAAATGCCAAAAAGTTGCTGTTTCTTTCTTTCTTGATTCTAAAACTTTAAAGTTGCTTTGAAAAAAGCAAACATTTTTAAACATTTTACTAAAGCTTTTTCTCTGGTACTCTTTAGAGTATAAAAAGATGTCAATGAATGTCTTGTCTTTTGTTACGTAATTTATAAAAAGAAGAAAATATTGGCTTTCTATTAGTAAAAAGCAGCAATTTATCATAATATAATGTGTGCTGAGAAGTCCTATGGATACTTCCTAATGCAAAGTTTATCAAACTGTGGATTGAAAACTGCATAACTACCCTTGAACAGGCCTTGCCCAGGAAGGCACTCAATCGAGTGCGCACACCTAGAGCGCATCCAAAAAAGCCTTCTTGGAGAGCAATTTATAGAGCCCCTCAAACGTCAAAACAATATTACCACGGAGCAAAAAATTTTTTTTTAATTTGTGTTAAATAAGCGCGATCAAGCATAAACAATCTTCCCAACAGATGGCAATGTTATGATTTGCATAAAATTAAGCAAATTCAACATTGGGTTTTAGATATCAGCCAAGGACATAGGCCATCAAGCGTATTCTCCAGCAGATTTATTTGATTTTCGAGCAAGCATTAATCTTCTGTAGGAGTATTATTTTCTGTTTTTTCCTAATAGCTTAAAATCACCTGTGCAAATCAGCAATCATTTCCACTCAAATTATTGCATTGCTTTTCAGTTTTCATTTAGTTTCATGAGTAGTAGATGTCTTATTGAATGGATGGCATAAAAAAGGAAACAAAGTTAAATGTTCAACTTAAAGCCATGCATTTTGATGAAACAATATGTAAAGCTGAACATAACAATAGTGATACTAACGGTGATAAAAGCAACTTACATATCTAAAAAATCTGATCAATTTTGAGACTTCGAAGCTTTCCATATGAAGCTCTCAATCTTCCAAAACTCTCAAAGGATGTTCTCAAGGACATTTTATCTAGAGGTGCGAAATAGAGCGCCTAGAGTTTCTAAGGCGCTCTTTTTATAGAGCACCTTCATTTTGCTTAGAGCAAGGCCTGTCCTGAGGTGTTATTTCTTAAGTTTTTGCCTTCAACCTACTGTTTTAGAAACTTGCAATGCCTCTTATAATATGCTTGGGGTTACTTGCCCAAGTTGAAATTGATGCAACAAGGTATTTGGGATGCACCAAAATGCATAATCAAAGATGCATAATCAAAGAATGTACCTTTGCATTCAGTTTCCCTGCTTCTATCACAATTATTCCATTCTGGATTTCCTCATCTTCTTCTTGTGGACCGAACAAATCATATTGGTAGGTTTCATCAACTACAGATTCTGGATCTGTATTCATTGTTGCGCTGAAAAGAAAAGCAAATTTGTAGAAAATAAATTCAAAAGACAAGGTTAAACTTTAATTGGTAACCATGTTAATATATAAAAATATAACTGCAGCTAGTTTGCTCTAAATGTAATTGATGGTCAGTATGCATCAAGAGGTTCTAATGCATTCACAATCATTTCCGTCAATGTGTGCAAATTTAAAATCAATTGACAATTCACAAGGCAAATAGATAGTAAATAGATTTGGCGAATGATCAAGCAATGTTAAGCTAATATTGTGACATATAACTTTTAATTTGCAAAATAAATGGTAGCAGAGTCATATTTGATAGGAAAACATCGGTTCATATGAATCTGTACAACAAAAAATAAAAAATAAATCCAAATGAACAAATATGAACACAAATCAATCCCTGTAAACTAGCTAAATCAAAATATCGGTGCACAAGGATTGAGAGAAATGTGAAGAATTTGAGCAAAAATATAAAACACATCAATATACATATGTTTTTTGAAAATAAAAAGACAATATGGGTGATACATACCACTCACAAAAATTTGCTCGTGTTTGTTTCCTCAAACTTTACGTTTTATGTGGCCTTTATTTCCCTATCCGAATATCTAAACTTCTTGCAAGCTCATCGATAATTGATTGACGTCTTCTCTTAAAGAGTTGGTATTTAAGAATGATCTGAGGCAATCGTGATGTAACATTAGTAGCGCAACCTTCAAGTATTTATTTCACATTGGTTGCATCATCAAACAAGCACCATTTTGATTCGAATTCATCCTGCTGAATGGACATGAAATCGAGACTAGCCAAGTTCGTTCTTGGGCAAATTGTAAAAAACGGACCTGAAAGCCTTGAAAAATTATTCTTTGACACTCTTCTAAACGAGATAAGCAGTCAACTGGAAAAGAGAAATCGTTTCCTTTTCATACATTCGACGCTAAATGTAGTTTGCAAATAATTGCATGTAAATAATCACACGCACAATTTCGTAAAATTTTTCTCGTTAAAAGCTATTGCAAGTTACGCACCAAGACACACTTGTGGTATCAATTTTGGTTTTCTATTGAATTTGAAGATAGTAAATTACTACAATGACTGGGACAAGATGGTGCCCTTTGCTTGAAGGTGTTTGTTTCTTTGTATTTCTGCTGTAAAGCTGTGAAGAAATTTTAAAAGAAGAGAAGTTTGGGAAAAGGCGTAAAGAAGACATATTTGAATGATACGGTTTTCCATTTAGGTTTTAATTTTTTTAAAATTTCTGAATCAAAGTTTTGCTTCGCTGTAACGATAATGTACACTCTACAAAAATATTTCTGCAGTTTAAAATAGCATGAAAAATGCGAAAACGTGAAACGAAATGTATTATCTTTATTTTTTCTATCGATGTAGAAAGATCACAATGAAAAAGCTCATTTATGCATCTACCCTGAGCCGCAAAAAAAATTATTGGTTTTCTTTTCCCGTCTTCTCCTCCTTTGCCTCCGCAGCTCCCAGTTTTTGCTGCCATTCTCTATTTGTTACTGCTGTTAATCCCATTTTTTGCTGTAATTTTTGGCTCTGGTACCCAGGGTAATAAACATCGTGGGGAGCATTATAATGCCTCTGCCATTGGACCACGGCAACCTCCTCAGCTCTGTGAGCGTGTAAAAGGTCGAACAAGTTTATCTATATTTTAGGCTGAGATCCCTTATCCTGAAGGAGAAGGTCCCTGGCTTTGTCAAGGATATAGTAGATAGGTGGAGTGGACAACTGGGCTGCAACCCTTTTAAAAGTGCAAAATTCATCGGGAAATTTCTGTACGCTGGGTGCCAGAGCCACAAAATTTCGTGCACGGAAATGTAAAACTAAGCGGAGAAGCGGAGGAGCATTTGGCGCTGGCACCCAGGGTAGAAATTTTGCTGCCTTGTCGAGATCTTTGTGAAAATCTGAGCTTTAGCCCTCTCTCAAAAATAGAGTTCTACTTTGACGCTGGGCATGGCTCATGCTACCCTTGGCGTCAGAGCTTTGGAAAGGAAAGGAGATAAGAGACTTTCCCAAACCCCCACCCAATTTCTTAGGCTCTGGTAGCCTGGATAGGTTCATGCCATAACCTTTGCAACAAACTGATAAAAATGAAACGTTTCTGTGAAGAATACAAATGATCATACGAAATTTTCAGATGGAATTTAACAGTTTTAATACTACTGTCAATAAAAGTTCGGGAAGTTTGACGTGGACATGCTGTACTTTTTTCAAATTGAATAAATACTTGATCAAGAAACAGGTCCAACGCAAAAAAAACCCATTTTATAAACACAACTTAATCATCATTTCATCACCGGGCTGTCACATTGAACATTTTGAAATTTGAAAATGGCTTTGAAAAAAACAAACATTTTGAGTCATACTAAAGCTTTTCGTCTGACACTCTTCATAGTATATATCTTTTGTTTCTTTAGAAGGGTAACCTGAAAGTTGCATCATTTGAAAAAATTTGACACAATATTACACTGTTGTAATATGTAATGCTACGCGGAGGATGGATTCTAAGTATGGGTAGAAAAGGCACTATCATTCAAGAAAGCAAACATGGAGAATACGCATATTTCATATAATGAAAATTAGAAACTTTTTCATTTAGTCTCTTTTTAAACTATTCTCATAAATGATAACTTAATAAGCAGTAGCAATAGATCAAAACAATGACGGTAAACGTTTGTGTTCATTTTCCTCCCCCAACCTCTGATTATGTAAAATGTAAACATATCTTGATAAACAATAGCCAACACATAAATAATTTGGTTTAGTTACAACCACTCTGATTAGAAAGCAAATTGATGGTTGATTTCCTCCTGCTCCTAGCTGTTTTTGGGCAAAACACAAGCTCATCTTTGCTTTTTTCATCACTTGAAGATAATGCTCAACTGTCTAGTATAAATTATCCTCTCTCAGCTCAAGAGCACATAGGCAGAAAGTCTGAATATATGTGGTACTCGAGATAATTCGCGCTAGTCGTAAGTCAAATGAAAAAATATGGTTAGTCCTCAGTCTTGGGTTTTACACATAATTATTCAGTTGACAAAACAATGTGTTAGTCACCTAGAAAAAACCCCTTCTACACCCTCAAAGAAACTGTAAATGAGTTTAATACAGTTTCCTTCGACAAGCATTTTCTTTCGTAAAAGAATCTTTATAACAGTCTGAGAAGCTTCACGTCCCAAAACTATTTTTTATGCCTCAAGCACCACGAACTATCAGTAAATTGCCAAGAGTTAGAAGATCCCAAGAGAACGTGCAGAGTACATCCGGCGTTCCACCGGTCTGCATTTTAGGAGTGGTTTGCCGTATCATACCCCCTCAATGAAATCGAGGTTGTTTATTAGAAGAGAATTATTATCGGTCGACCAGGTCTGAAAAGAAATGGCTTTAATCTTAAAATAAAAAGTGATGGGAAATCTAAATCATTTGATTGATTATTAAAAACGCAAACAAGATCGTCTCTATGCTGCAAAATGGCAGAGGCAGACAGTAAAAAAGATCAGGCGATCTATCACGAAAAACAGCGTCTGCAAATGTGTGCAGTTCATGCTATCAACAACCTATTTCAAGGAAGCAATGTCCTTAAGAGGGAAGACATGAACAGCATATGCAAAGAACTTTCTCCAAACACTCTCGTCAACCCACACATGAGCGTTTTTGGTGTCGGAAACTATGATGTAAATGCAATAATGGCAGTCATGTCGAGACGGGGCTATGAAGTTGTCTGGTTCGACAAAAGAAAGTGAGTTGTTCGTCTATGTTCTCATCATGTGGGTGTGTATGATGCTTTACCTCTAAGTTTTACCTCAAGGGTGTCAGCAAACCGTTATTAGTCCTTAAAAATATGTAAATAGGATTCAAAACGTATTTTAAGTGTTTTCGGTACGGTCGAGGAATTAGGTTTTCGCCCAGACACATCCTAAAGCAAACGCTCAATCGACCTGCAAAATGTTATACATCAAAGTCCAGCATGTCTAAGCTTGCTACATGCAATGATTTCCCACTCAAACCTGAAAAAATAAAACTTCCCTTATATGTACTGTATACGAGAAATTTTTCTAGCAAATCTTGCTACGTAGCTCCTTGGATGAAAATTTTCTTTCATAAATCTTTCAAGGTCGGTATTTAAGATTGGAAGTAAAAAGCTTGCTCCTTTTCAGGCCCGTCGGAACCGGGGGGCTGGGATGGCTGGAGCCCCCCAATAATTGTCAACTGTAGTGTGCTTCCTTTATAACAGTGTACTGAATGAGAAGGAAAAAAATGGGCAGCCCTCCTATATGAATTTTGTTCCGACAGCACTGCTTTTTGGGTGTTCTGCCTGATTCAAAACCAAAAAAGGTTTGAGAACTGATAAGAGAAATAGAAAGTTCAATAATTGGTTAGTAACATAATTTTAGCTCTGTTGAGAGTCAAGAATTAAGAATATCAAAACACTCATTGTCTTTTGTTACCTTTTTTGTCGAGTTTTTGACAAGCATAGATCAGATGATATCATAAGCTTATTTGAAAATGTTCGCAAAATTTGTAGTCAATGTATGTAAAACATTTGTAAAAGACACAAGGTGCAGTCTGACATAAGACGAATTAATTGGTTGTCAGCAGGGGCAAAACTTCCATTGTTAACCAATTGAGGTATCTAAATAGAGGTTAGACAGTGGACTCTGAATAAATTTACAGTAGACTCTGAATACGTTTTGAACATTAGTGGAACAGCAAGCAAAGCTTTACTCTAGATATGTTTGTTTATTTTTGCTAATATTATATGTAAATGTAACTTGATTCTGAACAGTTAAGTTAACTGGAGTCAGCTGAAACTGCAATATAATAAAACTGATGAAAGGTTCTACTTTTTGTTGACAGTGTGTTTTTAATAGTTATATGGGATGAAACATTCTGATTTTGAGATAACACTAAACTCAGGGACCCTGGAACGATCAAATGGCAGGGGGGCAGGCTTCAGTAAAAGGGCATTTGAAAACAATTCCCAGCTTCTTTTAATTCTTTTGTAACTGTCATTTTATTTTGATGTTCTGTAGGCATCTTGTAAATGGGCTAACTGCTGTCATAAATAATTTTAGTACAAGTTTTGAGAAAATTTGTCATGACAAAAACACCATAGCCAGGATTTCATCAGTCTCTTAAATGATTACAAATGCTGATAACAAGGGTACTTTTATGAAAAGAGCACTTTGCCACTCCTTGCCCTTCCTATCGAAGAACAAGAGGGGCTTTTGCCCCTGGTGCCCCACCCCTCTCAGTTGTCACTGAATAAACCCAACTCCTAAGGGTGGCCAAAGTTTGGCCCAGGTGTATCTGGATGCTCTCTCTAGGAGTTTTATAAAAATGGGTGGACAAAGAGTTTGTACTCAATTTTGAAATTGAAGTTGAATCAGTCAATCATGAATATACGAAGGTATCCAAAGCATTTATATACTGTATTTGTTATTATTATAATAACAAATAAATAATTTATTGTTTTTTTTCAGGTCTTTGGAATATAATAATAAATCATTTATTGTTTTTTTTCAGGTCTTTGGATGGTATTAACTTTGGAAATATATATGGTATGTTCATCAATACAGTTGCAAAATGGGATACGTTTAAGATTCCTTTCAAGTTATTCAGGCATTGGTTTGCAATTCGACAAATCGGTGGCATCTATCACAACCTTGATTCCAAACTGAAACGTCCTGAGAAAATTGGCAGCGAACTGGATTTGAGATCTTACTTGAAGTCAAAACTTTCAGAACAAAAAACTGAGCTATTGCTTGTTGTTGAAATGTCAATTGCTGAAGAAAGAAGTTGGGAAATTCCGAAAAGCTCTCCTACATAGGAATACATTAGCATAGATTAATTTTTTGCACAGTATTAGATTGTCTCTTTTGGGCATCTTTTAATCTGGATAAAGATCAATAAAAACCCTCAGATTTTTCTAAGCTAAACAATAAAGCAAACCTGGTATCATGCAGGCCAGTAAATATTCTTGATGTAGATCATGAAGGATTGTGGAGGCTAGTTCTTTTTGAAAAAGTCTGGGTTTGGACAAGGCCTTCTCCAATTACCCATCTGTATTGTATACAGAAGCCTTGCAGGATACCTTTTCAAACTTTTTCATTGATAAATCAAAGATGGGCTTTATAGCTTGTGAAGTGTTGGGTATGGTCTTAGCAATTATAATTTGAAATCTGTGTTTTTAATAAAAGGGAGGGTGTTAAATAAGCTTTCAAAGAACTTATTTGTTAATGTGTTGTTAGGCAATTTCTGAGAAACAAATTTGCAATGGCTGTTATTCATAGCTGGCTTTGTCATGCATTTGATGACTAAAAATTTGATTGTGTACATACAGAAGTTTTGTAGGCTTATTACATTTGTTTAGTTATATTAAAACGAGAAAATGGGGACTCTCTGCTTAAACTAAATATTAGCTTGAACGTCAAAAACTCTTTTCTAATGAACAAAGGAGAACAACAGCCAAAAAGACTATTCTAAGGTACTTTTGCAATAAAGAAAGTATGTATGACCTTCTTCCTTCATGGAATATTACTTGAAATTATGTTATAATGAATATTTTAGACATATGATATAAAGTGGCAGTGATAAGAAATCAATGAAAATACAAAGTCATATCACCTTTTGAAAAACTGAGGGCATAAGACTCCATGAGGAAACTTTCACGAAAATGCTAATTAAATCTTTTAATTGGTTACCTAATGAAAATTGGCAAGTTTTTCTACTACCCATTTAGCTTTTCACCCTTGAAAAAGTACTACCCTAAAAACATCATGTTTCTAGTGATATAATTTCTTTTATTCAAGATGCGTTTTTACATATTTAGCTTCAAGATAAGCAACACATTAGAGATCAATCAAACCAAGGTCAAACTTTTGTTTATAATAAACATTCTTGCAGAAGGTCACAAAATTTGGCTTTCTTAGATTTTAGTGATTTTAGTAACAGAATATCATCTATAAGAGACTTTTTACCATTATTAATACCAAGTTTTTTATTTCATTTTACCTATAATATTGTAATATTGTGTTTCTTTTCGTAATGTATAAATTATTATAACACTAATATGAAATCGTTACCTCATTAAAATGAAATACCAGAATTCGTTCAGTGTCAACTATTTTTCAATTCTCAGAACTTCTTTGAAATCCGGAAAGATTTAATAAACAGACACAATACCAGGTTTAGATCATTTAGAAACATATATATTTAAAACCCTTCACGAAGAACTGGTTTGAAATTAAGTGGAAAGAGAACTGCCAAGGGTTTCATAGAGACAATGTTGTCGCGGGCTTACATGAATAAAGCAGGCCCGGGACAGTGTTGTAAGCAGTGGCGGACTGGCAGGGATGCTAGGTTGCGATCGCAACCCGGGCCTTCTCAATTACATAATAACCGGGCCCTCTGTTGATAAATTCGAGAAAATAACTCTATTAATTTCATAGATATCTATGTTCAAGAGAATACAAGTCACAGAAATGAAGATAAAATCCTTAGAAAGAAAACATTTCAGTATTGCTTACCAGGGGCATTATTGTGGCTAGGCGGGACACGGGGAAATTTCTCGGTGGCCCCCTTTCGAGTGAGTTTGTAAAACCCAGGAAAATATCTAATATGAACAAAATCTTTGGTGAGAAAACGCCGCACTTACATGTATACTCAAGTTCACAGTTCAGAATTAGAGGAGGTCAACATTTACAAACAGGCAACTGTGAAAGAGATGCGTGGAATATGAACAGAGCTTCCGAGAGGGGGACAAACTGTCCCAGGGCCTCGAGGTCTAGGGGTCCTCTTAACGCAAGGAATTCCAAATTAAGAACTGAATTTTAACGAAACGCAACAAAGTATGCATAAAAATTTGTAAAACGAGGTAAACGACTGTAAAAAGCATTCTGAATCGTGTTTCAAGCTAAGTTAAAGGGCGTGGCCGAAAAAATTTTCTGCTCGCGTCGCTCGCAATGCATATATCTCTTCTGTTGCATTTTTGTTAGTATATATCAACTGTGCACTACAGCATTGAATTTGTTCCTCATTTTTTGCAGTCTTAAAGTAACTATGGTTAGAGAAAAGGGGCTACACCCCAACAAATATAGCAGATGAACCTTTCAAAATGATAAAAACTGGGATCTTTTTAATATTTCCTAGGTGCATGGTTTTCAGGTATATATCATTTTTGTCGACTTGGGTTTGTGATTGGAGATATCATACACAAGAGTGGGCCCCCTTATGATAATTTTCTCCCGGCCCTTTCCTAGGAGCCACAACGCCCCTGTTGCTTACATTATACGTAGTACGGGTCCCTTTTACAGTATATCGCAACCCGAGAGATTTGCTGCCAGTCCGCCTCTGGTTGTAAGTGGGATACGTCTTTGCTGGCAGCAGTTTAGATTTTCAGACTACGGTTCCAAACAGTAGGCTTACTCTGTATTGGAAAGGCCCACTTATATCTTGCATCCTTTAATTGGAAGGTAAAATTATAGAGGAAAACTTTGCCTTCTGGTTGGTGTTTCAGCATGTTTCAGGAGAAAACAAAATATGAATGAAATAGGATCGTTTTAGTGTCCATCAATTATTCAAAAATTGCGAACTGTGAAACGTAATTACACAATGTTAGTCTATATATATGGGTTTAAACAGCTTTAGGGAGCAGCGAAAATGTGCACGTCACAGATGTGGCGCTTCCAACTGAATGCGGGTTGATTTTACATGCACTATTTTTTTAAAAGAAAACTATAAATTTTGTCCAGCCTCGGTATCCTTAAAATTTTTTCGCTATGAGCCAAAATTTGTTCTTGAGTTTTATTTTTTTCAATCCTGATATGTTTTCGGGGAAGATCGCCCGCTCTTTGATAAAAACCACGTTTTTTAGAAAACGAGAGAAGTCTGTTTTAAGATTTCCTGTTATTAAAATAGCAAAACAGGCCACTGTTGAAAATGAGACACAAATGTGCGAACTGAGGATAAGCAATATTCTTATGATATTCTTAGAAATTGGATGATTCTGAGCCTGAATATTCTTATCAAAATATTCTTATAAAAAGAGTGTGGAGGGAGTGTTAGGCATTGAGTTTACATTTGTTGTAAGAGTTTTGAACAAAATTATTTGCCTATTGTTTTGGACGGCCCATAGATGTTGATTTTACTGTACAGGCAAATTTTTATCTCTGCATGATCATCGAAAATATGATCATTTAAACTTGAAGATTTTGAAGCTTTAAGATCTCTTCCAGTTAAAATTGCTTTGCTTTGTTTATGATTCTGTCAATAAGAACTCACCGAGCTGCTTTCACAACTTTTTTAAATCTGTGTCAAATACTCATCAATATGGTACACGGCAAGCCACAAAAAAATTACATTTTCGTAATACGGAAAAATACTCTACAATATGGTATCAGGTCTGTACCTTTCCTTGGTGCTAAATCTTGGAACAATATCTCAGTAGATACAAAAATATCATTGTCTGTTGTCAGTTTTTCTCAAACCTTTTCATTCAACAAGAGCTATCAAATTGATTTTGAAGCAAAATTTATAGTTCTGTCATTCATGTCCTAGAAAAGAGGGTGCTCTCTCCTCGATTAGTTTATCTACTGAGAGAGCTCCTCCTAAAGAAATTCCCCTACAAACAACATCTTATGTAATCGCTATTTATTGTTATTGAGTATCTTATGTAATGTGTTAACATTGTATGTAATCATTTGTAATGTAGAATAAAAAGATACTGTATGTAGAGGGATTTTAAAATATAAAACTGAACTGAACTTAACTGAAAATAGGGAAGGGGGCAACTAACTGCTTTTGGACATGAACAAACAGGGCCATTGGGGGCTGGGGGCTGGAGCCCCCCAATAATTGTCAAACTGCAGTATATTTCCTTTCTAACAGTGTACTGAAAGGGAAGCAATACAATGGGCAGCCCCCTCCCCCCAATATGAATTTCGTTCCGACGGCACTGACAAAAGTACCTTTTTGGTAATGGCCATTAAAACTCTTCAAGGTAGACTGTCAATTATTTTAAACATTGTGCCTTTCCTCTTTGCGTCCCTAACTTTGAAGTGCATACGACGATTAACAACGAAGTATCTGATTGCCTGGCTTATAAACACTAACAACACAAAAGGGAAAAAACTGAGGGATATGCGGGAAAGTGAATCCAATTAGCCATGGCTCCGAATCGCTTAATCCGAAAGAAGATTGTTGTGTTAGAATCGTCTAAAACGGTATAAAATAATAAAAATGAAACAACACTAAAAGGCTTAAGGAGATATTGGTCAGCTCAATGTTTCCATTCTTTAGTGGTGTGTTAACGTATTTTTGAATGATTTTAAAATGTTTTATTGGGTATTACGTCCATCAATTAAAGCAGACGAAACGAGCAAGGCCCATAGAACAAAAAGCTTTTTATGACTATCAACTACACAAGGCCTAACCAGACTCTTTTAACGCCCCAAAATACTATATTAGCCTGCTGAGAATAAAAAGCTTAACCCAAGCTGATAATCCTAAGAAAAGGCTATGAAATCTACTACAAGTTTGATGTTAAATGATTTGGTCTTTTTATCTCATGTTTCTACAATTACTTCAAAACAGGAAGAAAGTTTCTTGTCATAATGAGCTTTTGAAGTCAAATTGGATCAAGTTTTAACTACTACAATTCACAGCAAACAATTGATGATGACGTATAGAGACAATGTGAGAGACAACCCTTCCAATGATTGATAGAGCTGGGGTAACCGAGATGAGATGAGCATTCATACAAGTTAAGTTCTTACGGAAGAAATCGTGTTAAATTTTAATGACGTGGCCCTTAGTGGCAGTCTGACTCAGAAACGCTAATTAGCAATGGCGAACTAAGAAAGTTATATGCCAACTTCACATACTTTTAGAGAAAAGCTAAGTTTATTTATCGCAAATATATCCCACAGAATGATTTTATAAAGCCCGCTTCTCAAGAGTCTTATTCTTTAGCAAAATATGTAACTGTAAGTCGCGACTCTGGTTTTTTCAGCTCTAGAAACACATTGGCAAATTTGTCTCCGACTCCAGTCAGTCTTGTATACTATATTTTACTGTTTAGGAGGACGATTGGTTTGCGGAAAGCCAACGAAGCATGAACATTCTAGGGTCTACCCCTCAAAATGCTTTGTTTAAGGTAACCTCTTACAAAGCTAGGACTCATGGACCAGTCTGCGTGTTAACGGCAAATGTACACTATGAATGATTAAAAATATATATGAACTAATTCTTTATCTGATCAGAAAAGGATAACATTTAACGACAGAGTTTTATGACCTAAAAGAGTATGTTTGCGACTTAACCGACCGGTGGGCGAGTCTTCCACAGGTGACACTGGTTAAAGGATGCAGTAATTATTACAAGAAGTTTTCATCGAGGCATGGATCTCCTTAAGATTTGTTCGCTTTTCAATAGTATGATTGATGAGATCTTGAAGAAGTCTGGAAGTAATTGATTGAAAGATGGCAGACATTTTTTACAATTTTTTAATTCCAGGGAAATTTCTAATTTTTACATTGTCTAAGGAAATGCCTTTCTACGAACTCTTAAAATTTACAGGAATATGACTAGGCTATGAACTAAATCGCATAAATTAGTTTACAAGATATGACGCGCGACAAGGATCGTTTTGTGCGATAAAGAGGCTCATAATTGGAATTAAGAGAAGTTTGAAATACTTGTGCACGACTTAGCCTACTTGATTTTAAAGGACGTGACCGAAAGCAAGGGGAAACTAGAGAACAATTTTCAAATAGACCGAACTAGAAACTTCAAATAGAGCTAAAAGTGAGTAAAAGTTACTGGTGTAATTTGCTAAAAGATTCCCCTGTGCAATAGAGATCTAGCTCACTATTGGCAGAGCTAGTTTTGTGTTACTTATGCAAGACATCGTGCTATGATCAAATTTTGCAGTACCGAAAAAGCTTTTCAAGTTTCCAAATATGAGGATAGAGTACAGTTCATCCCTATGAATTTCTTTTTTATGAATATTTGCTAGATTAATTTACCAAAGAGGTCATTAAGGATGGAGGCAATGGACCAAAATGAGAAAATGGTAAATGGTAGGCAAAGAGAAATTAGTTGAGGTGCAAATACCTCTGCTCAAAATCATTGTATGGTGCAATGCAGGCACTGATAAAAGGCCCATACCCAATGCCCTTCTCGATGTCTAAGAGGAACCCTTGGAATATTTCATGCTATGCTTCTTAATATTCGGGAACGTCATTACGCTACCTACTTACCTAACTTTATAATAAATAGTCGATATTCTTTCAATGCTGCTGATTCAGATCCTCTATTTTCTCCTGATACATGGCGTGAAATGACACTGCCAGGTGTAAGAAAGGTGTCTCGATGTCTTTTAGTTCTTTCTAAAAAAGAAAAAATTGTATGAAATGATGTACTGGCTTTAAAAGAGCGTCGGCGAGGTACAAAATACAAGAGAAAAGGTACAAGAGAGGCAAGGTCAACAAATGAATGACTTTAGTAGCTCTTTGGATGACATGGGATCCCACAAGGGTCGTAACCGATATAGTTCTTAGTTCGTCCAAAAAAATACCGAAATTTTTTGTTCAAAACAAACAATCCCTTTCGTTCTTATTGCTTGCAAACAATGGTGAATTCACATCAGTGGACCCGTAATACTTCTTAACTCTGTATACTTCCTATGATACTTATCCCGCAGGAAACTTTATCGTTTGATTCCACACGTGATTCCATACAGTTGCGCTTCTCCCGTTGCCAAGAACCTCAGAAAAGGGAGGAGGGTGGCAAATTGAAAAGTATAACTAAGGATGATGCCTACAGAGTCACTCTTTGAAAGATTTACTTTGAAGGGCGAAATCCAGGAAGATTTCGAAACTTAGGAATTTTAAACAACCTTACAAGCTATGGATGCCAAGGGTGGATTTTGCTCCAATTCTCAATCTTAACTTCCTCGATAATTAACAAAAAGAAACTAGCAACTACCCATGTAGACAAGGCACCTACCTATTGTGAAAGATAGAGTGACTTTTCTTTTCCTGTTCTGTAAAATTACGGCCAATTATGACAGATTTAAAAATAGGCGAGTTTCTTCAGTTTTTGTTAATTTTCGTACATAGCTTTATTTTCTATCCATTCCTGAATTTGGAGGTGAAACAAAAGGCTACCCATCAATATCAAATACATTAGTGCCTGAATTTAACACAATATAATTGGGTGGTGACAATATGAAAATTATAATGTTGTCATACTTTTACACGTATTTGGTACTTTTGAAATTCGGTGATGGTCTGTAATCACGACAGAAAACAAAACAAAATGAAAAGAATGAAAACAAAATTTTAAAAGATTGAAGAAAACTGAAAAGATTGAAAAATTGGGGAAAATAAAAAAAATTGAAGAAAATGAAACACTACAGTGATCCTGATAGCAACATTTCTAAACATTTTAACATTTTAATCACAAAGAAGATGACATGTCAGCTCTTGGCCTCTTGTTTGTCCCAACGGACAGTGCAAGGAGAAAGTCACTGGAAAACGAATCATTTTTAACTTGGAATCTTATATCCTTCTGAACTAAATTAACAATTTACGTATCTTCAATAACATACACCCCCTCATTTTTCTAATTTTTACTTTCTTTTTTTCTTTTCTTGTATGTTATTTGTATGCATATATTATATAAATACATAAAATATATAATTTTTAGCTCTTTCTATATATCTATTTTCCATATTCTTAGATTCGTCGTTCTATTCCATCTGTCGAATCCCACGTCCCTTTAACGTTTTCTGCACTATCGTCGCTTTTCAATTTTACTTCATTCCGGGCTATGCTCGAAACGTCGTTATTCATTAAATCAATTATTTATTTCAGGTACCATTTATTTACATTCATAGTTATTATTTCGTTATATTGTACCGCAAGCAATCTAGTATATTTATGGTCTGTCATCAACTGCAAAATGCTGTGTTTATGATAAGTAACACGCTGTAACATCGCCAAATACACGGTAACTTTATTTGAGTTACCTGCAGTGAATTAGAACTTAAGTTGTTTGTCGTAAGGTGAATTTAAAAAACATTTCTTTTCCTTCCTTGTAGTTACAAAAAATGTACTTCCAGCAAAAAATTGTAGCAAAAAGCAGCCATGCCTCGCTTTACTAAAGGATGTGCAGAAAGAGTTTATCACTAAACGTCAATTTGGCACAACCTGACAAAAGCTATACTTGTCCAAAATATATTTCGCAGAACGATCTATAATTGCTTCATTCAGCGACCACAAGGAGGTTTACAGTTTCGAATAGCGAAAACATTGAATTCAGAATGCTATGGAGGACATTTTGCTGAGAAAACATATCATCTAAAAGTGTGCGACGTTTTGTTGTTGAAGCATCAAAACTCAAAAACAATTATCTTGTCTTGAAAATATTTATCTTGATTATAGCGTTCATTCGAAGAAATGACAAGTAAAAACCAACTTCAGAACTGACCAACACAAGATCTGTTCTTTCTCCTCCTTCACCGTACAAGACGATACTTTACCTCAATTCTTTACTAAACTGGATACTCGCCTAATTTTCCACGATTAACAATATCTTACTGAAATTAAATAAAATGGTAAAAAGGGAAGAGAAAAAACAAACAAAGGACCAAAACCCTAGAAGTGTGAATGTGCCCTTCCGCAATTTTGGCAGGCATTGTGGTAATTTCAGACCTCACTTACCGCAGACGTTTCGAAATATTCCATTCCCTCTGTTTTAGCAAGTTGCTTTCCTTGATCAGAAGTAATGACCCTTCTCTCTTGCAAGTCAACTTTGTTTGCAACAAGAACGGCTGTAAAGCAGAGCTTTAAATAAATACAGCAAATCGTAATTGTAAATAACTTTTCCAGAGACTGGTTGATAGAAAGAAAAACTTAAAATTTCCCACAAAATTCTGTCACAGAAAAAATAAATTAAGAATGAGGGTTTTTTCACTTAGGCCCTTTCTAAGTTTCTAGGCATAGGAAAAGGTACCAGTAAATTACAATTGTCACCTTAGGACTCCATTGCTAACACTTTCAATGGACAAACGGTACTGATTGGGCAACCTCCACAGTCATGAGCTCGCGTTTCTGAGTGGCCAATTTCGATCTACAAGTGGGTATATATTTTCCAACTTGTTCTTTCGGAACCTTATTCTGACGTTTTATACTCTGAGGAGTGTCAGACGAAAATTCTTTAAGCAACCTGTAAAATATTTGCTTTCTTCAAAGCTATTTTCAAATTTTGCGCCGCCAATTTTTTACAAATTTACATGTGAATTAAAACTGTATTACTCACAAGGTAGTTTTGCATCTGGGTTTTTATTGCGCACATTTTTTATCCAGTTCTTGCAACTGGTGAATGATGCATCATTTGTGACGTCATAGACTATCATCAAAGTAGCCGCTTCATCCAACTTTTTCATCATAGAAAGAAAAAATAATATATTAACAAAATGAGTTATGCAATGGAAAGACATGACGTTTCTTTTAACATTTCATCTAAAGTTAAAACCACATATAGCCAATTTTAATTAAATTCAAGACAACTGCGAGCACCCTGAACTGTCAAGGACAATAGAAAAATGCCTTGGTTTATGTTAGTATCTTACAGAAAAAATCTACGGAAAAGATCCTTTGGTACAACAAAATTTGAAAACAAAACAGAGAAGCGGAAGCATGTGATACTAAAGTACCTTTCCTTAGAGTATAAACGTAGGATTATGATCAAAATGGTAGGCATAAACAGAGCTGTAAAAAGTATCGGAACCTGGGAACTAGATTCTCAGGAAATTTTTTAGCTTAGCAGAAAATTTTCAGCAAAACTTGATAAAAACCAACTGTTTTTGCAATAGCAAAGTTCAAGAGTTTCTACGAATGAAAAGTTTTACATGTATTTTTAAAAGTTCTAAAAAAACTTTTGCTTCTTTGTCCAATATCACAAAAAAATTTAAAACTTGGAAGCAACCTTCAGCTTCCTTGCCCAGGATCTTATTAACTGACAAAGCTGCAGACCTGGATCGGGCAATGATTTTGGACCTTGAAAATCAAAAGCTATGAAAATCACATGCATTTATTTCTACTTGACTTGATGGACTTTTGGCAAAGAATCAAGACTTTATTGAGTTCTTGGCAAAGTCTTTGATTAATACTGAATTACATTTTACCTGTTTATACTTATCTGCCAGCTTTTTTAGCCTTTTATTTCATATGATGGGTACGCGTGTCAACATGATGTTTTACATTAATAAATGGTGACATCTCAATATTCAAAGGACAAATATGATCTTCAAAAAACATCAGACTGATGTTTTTTCAAGATCACATTTGTCCTTTGAATATTGAGATGTCACCATTTATTAATGTAAAACATCATGTTGACACGCGTACCCATCATATGAAATAAAAGGCTAAAAAAGCTGGCAGATAAGTATAAACAGGTAACCAGATGGATCTTGTTTAAAGCTAACATCTATTACCATTCCAAAACACCAGGTATTTGTGGAAAGCACCATCTATGTTTAAGTTTTCTGCCAGTCAGTAAACATATCCTCCATTTGGTTCACAAATCAGTTTTACTTTTTCACATAGTCAATATTCGCCAAAGACAAAAAAAGAAGCAAATAAATGAATTAGATATTTTATTGGAAATTTTCTCTAGACCCAATTAATTAGAAGCCCTTGTATAAAAGTTTGCGCGTATTATTTGTAGTACACAATACTTTCACCTAACAGAAAAATCTTTGTTCTTTTTCCCAGGTTCCCAGAAATAAAAATATTTTTTGTAGCTCTGGGCATAAATTTATATCCAGATAAGGATAAAAGGTGTGTCTGATGGTGCGTCTGAAAGAATGGTGCACCTGATGGTTCCTTGCTTTCGACAAATCAGAAACCGCTAACCATTCACATTTTTGAAAAACGGCTATTTTTATCTACTAGAGTTTTGAGGTCCTTGTTTCAAAACAGACTCCAAGACGCACTCAGCCAGAAAAAGATCCCAAAAAGAGAGCAGCTATTAAGCAATTGCAAAATCAGAATGTGAAATAAAATGCATTTTGGTCATAAATCAATATCTGCTCACGAAATGGGTTTGCAGTTGTCGACTGGACGAAAACAAGGAACTAACTAAAAACACCATTATCCGACCTTTATTACCTGAGGAGTGTCAGGCGACAAGTATGTTTAGTAATATTTGCTTCCATATTTCCGTGATATATACAAAAAGCATTAACTAAAAACTAAGTTATTGTCTGCTAAATGTAAAAAGTCCTAAAATAAGGTCCGCTTCTTCAATATAAAAGAAACAGAAAACAATTTTGCAGCTATGTCGTTGCTAAATATTCCATAAAACAATTGTTGTGGTAGAAATTTTTTTGCAAAATGAAAATTTAAATTACCTTACTACGAAGCAGAGACGCTGGAGAAGGGGGCGCCGGGGGTTGACCATCCCTGTTGCCCTATAGGAGGGGCAAGAGGAGCCAGAGTGCCCTTTTCATTAATGTGCCCTTGAAGCCGGCAAATTGTAATAATCAGAGAGATTCATTTTAAATTCTTATTATAGTGCATAACTCATATGACAATTCTTGAAACTTGTAAAATAAATCCTTATTCCAAAAGTTAACCAATTTTAAACATATCAGGGATTATTTTAAGAAAAATTTATAACACTGCCAATTCAATCATCTCAACATTAACAAAAGTGCTTGTCAAAATTTTGTGCAAGCATTGGCTTGTGTGCAAGCTGCAAAGATGCAATCGTGATATTGAAAGGAAAATCTGTCATTTGAAATCATTGGAAAACTTCCATGCGAAGAGGTATTGCTTTTGCCATTCAAAACCTGAACCTTTATGTGCATTTTAATATTTTTATTTGCAAAAACAAGCAGAGAAAAGGAAAGTCAGCATTGGTTTTTAAGGATGATCACAGATGCAGAAATGGTTACCTAATACGAACCAGGCAAAGAAGATAAACAGCCAAGATCATAAGCTAAAATATTTTTAGATTAAGGACTAACAGTCTGTTTAGTATAAATCTTCTTTAATGTTTAGCTTTTGATTTGATCTGTTTTTCCCAATAATTTCTACATGCTCCAGAAAATTATTCAAGATGGTTGATTTTTTAAAGGAAACCAAAGTTGAAATCACAACACCACAAATTAGATTCACAATACCACAAAACGTCAACAAAACCATGTTAGAATAACCCCTGCAACATATCTACAGAAGACTGAAATAAAATGGCAGTTAGTAGAGGGAATTAGTAGAAGCTGGGAGTTATCTTTAAAATGCCCTTTTATGCAAGCCTGCCCCCTTACCCCTTGGTCATTCTGGCATCCCTGCTACAAAGTGCCAAAAGGGAACTCTGCTACTGTTTGGTAAGATATTTCTTATAATCAATCAAATAGCAAATTTTATAATTACATACTACTCACATGGTTTTCAACTTGGTCATAAAACAATTCTTTTCCAGCAATATCATACAGAAACAACTCCTAAAACAAGTAGGTTATTAGAGTAAATGGTCATCCTGCAAAAAATAACTCCAAAAAACATCTAATTTTACAAATAAATTTAGCCTGTCACTACCTTCTTTAAAAAAAGATAAACTTGAATGTACAGATACTGGGGATTCAGTGGAAGAGGGGGCTTATACCAAGCAAACACAAAATTCTTGCTAATCCTTGATTTTTGTCTACAAATTAAACAATTTCATTCATTTGAACTCTTTTCACTTAAATTTGTGGCCCAAACAAATAATTTTATTACAACTGGCACCCTTCATGCTACAATCCTGGACAAAAGGTTATGAGACAATTCTTTTATAAGTGATTTACTGTGTAATTGCCCTCAAAACCAGTGGTATGCCCCTCCCCCCAATGTCAATGTTGGTGTTGGGTAATGGCTGTTGATTGTGGAAGTCAAAAAACCTAAAAAATCAAAACATCAACATTGATATGGGGGATGGGGGTCGGTTTTGCAATAAATAATAATAACAGCGAATGACTCCTATCTTTTTTCCAGGATTGTAGATCAAGGCACTTCTGAAAAAATCTAGCCTGTGATACATCTTCAGAGACTTTTTCTTTGAATGGTTATAAAAATTGTTCAAATCAGTTTAGATTTTTGTTGTTGCAAAAAGCCTCATTACGAAAAATGCTGCATGAGAAAGCTGCTTCTCCAAAAATTTCGAAATTGATCAAAAATACTAAAAAAGGCCTGTCCCATGTTTTTCAGGGTCTGAAAACATGATCAAAAAAATTTATAGCCACTGTACTTTGTTAGCTTAATATATTGCAAGAAATTACTTTGTCACATTCCAATGTCCCCATATACAAAGAGGGCATTTTTTTATTATCTGATGCTAAAATAAGGTCTTACTCTATCTTCATATGAAAATTGATCCAAATAATCTTTATATGAATTCATATGAAAATTTAAATAATGTGAAAATTGTTTTGGCCTTGCATTTAAGTTACTCAACTGAATATATATGAAAGCATGCTTTGAAAACAGAGCAAAATAACCCCATACAAGATGGAAAATAGATCAACAAGGAGCACCGCTAAGGAAATATAATTATGAAAATGTGAATCAGTCTAAGGGTTACTTCCTGAAATATTGCAAAACAAGGAAGCAAACATAGGAGAGAGAACCAAAATAATGATTAATCCAGAAGCAGCTGTGCATATTTAACAAAAGACACCTGAATATGTGCTGCACTTTTTCAAAGCTGATCAACAAGATCGTTTGAATATAATATCATGGGAGCACTTAAGAATAGAGCGTTAAAAGGGTGTAGGTTTATCTGTAGAAATCTATAGCTCAAGAAGGGAATATGATGGAAAACATGTGTTTACTCACAACAGTATCCATAGTCTCTGGTATTGGAACTGACTTTACATGCAAATCAACACCTGTAGTCTATAAAATAGAGGTAACATTACCTTTCATTTTGCAATATAAGTCTGGAATGAATTGAAAATAAACTTTCAAAGATATAGCAACCTGCGAGGGCCTGTGAGTTTTGAGACATGTTTAAAATCTCAACTAAATTTTTCATATTCTAAATTTTCATGAATCTTTCTTTATATCAAACAATTGCTTGTGTTGTTAACAGCAATTTTACCTATATTACTGGCAAAACCTTATTTTATACATGTAAACAAAATAGATAAGAGTTTTAACATTACAAAAAAGAAGAGAGCCAATATCTACCCTGACTAACAATCATTAACTATTTTTACAGAAGGAATATGTGCAAGGTTTGCAGAGACAACACCTCTAGCCACATACCATGAGGTAATTCTTTGGATATTGAGTTCCATCACTGTAAAATGATTGGACAAGCGCTGTTTTCCCTACAGTTGTGTCACCTTTGAAACGAGAAGGAAATGTATAAATGCAGTTCTGTGTGATATTTTCAATCAAAAAAGGTATGATGTATGATTTATTCAGACTAGCTGGATGATGACTGATGCACAAAGGTCACACTTGATGAGCTGCTTGATAATCAATATTTCCTGTTTCAGAAAGATAATGCTGCTGTCAGATACAATGAAGAGGACCCTTCAATTCATTGTTTCAATGCTGTTTGGTCATTATATTTTGATTGATTTTGTTAATTTTGCTGGTTGACAAGCTTTTTTACCCAACATGAACCTACAATGCCTGCCAAAAGTTGGAACACCGATATAGTTGCAACACCGATATTGTACTCTTAATAAATGTATTTTTTTCAGTTCATTCCCCTTTTTCAAACAGACGGAACCCCCTCCCCCCCCCCCTTATACAATGTTGTGAAGAAGGGTGAACATGTTGCTAAACATGGGTTACAAAATTTGCGCGCTAGCATACATTTGTTGTCATTTTCCAGTCGCAATCCAATATTGTATATGGGGGGAGGAGAGACGTTTAGTAGGAAAGATGATTGAACTGTTCCAACAATTTTGGCGGGCATTGTAGGGTTCAAGTTAAGATGTAGCCGAGCCGATAAGGGCCTAAAACAATCAAATCTGAATAATGTAATACTGCTCAAAGTTATGCTTTCGAAACCATCACAAACTTTTTTATAGATAATGATTATTCAATTTTCTCACCACAAACAAGACATTTCGCGCGTAAATTCACCATATTGGAAGCTTTTATTTCCAGCCACAGTCCCAACCAACTCTCGACGCCATTCAATAATAAATTGTTGTTAGGCAGTGTGCCTTGTTTTCATGTAGAGGCCAGGTCTCCATGTTATCGTCTGTTGCCATGAGCGACTTGTTGTAAACCAGTATTCAATATGGATGCCGCAAAAGAACAGTTGATTTGATGTTTTGACGCAGAAAGATAAAAGTAAATTGTATAGTTTCTAAGATCAATGGCTCTTCAATTGCCACCAGTCGCAAAGACATCCAAGAGGAAGATTCCTGGCACAAGAATGTAAGCTACAATACTGTTTATTGATAACGAACAATTTGTTAGAATCATAGGTAGAGATGTCGTAAAACTCAACCTAAAATCTTTATTAGCATTTACAAGTTTAAATAACAGTAAACTGGGTCATAACAATGAAAATATTTTGTTTTAAAACCATTAAAAGAAAAAATAACTAAAAAAATATAACATGAAGGTTTACTTGTACGCTGATAATGGATAAATTATCGATGACTTGTACGCTGATAATGGATACATGGATAAATTTAATAATTCAAGAATTTGGGATGCTTTATAAATTCTTGCGTTGACTTTGTAATACTAAGTATGTAAAACATAAGAAAGCTGCGTAATTTTGCACCACAGCAAGCAAAAAACACGCATTCATGCATGGCGGATGAATAGCCAAAATTATTATTATTTTTATTATTATTAAATATTATTATTGTCATTATTGTTATAGTTTAAACTTCATTTTATCTCGCATCACGAAAGTAAAATACTACAAAATCTTTTGTGCTAAGTTCCGAACTGATTGATTTCTAAATATTGTTAGTAAAAGTAATGCAGATAAGCCAATTATATGATGCCTGTAAAAGCGAGTCGTGTAGTTGTAAACTTAAAATATATCAAACGAAAATGAGATGTTTGAAAAAATTACAATAAAATGTAATAAGATCCGGTGCCGGAACAATAACCACGGCAAACAAACAAACGTTTTACGAACACAAAAGCTGCAATCAGCAAATCAATCCTCGATAACATGGTTTCTGATGCTGAAGTTGCCTAGCAAGAAAAAGAACAAAATTGTTAGCTTTTATCGAGAGGCAAAGCACTCCATGAAAATCTCATTCATCTTCGGTGAAAATCCTCTTTGTATATCTGAAAATCCAGGAAAGTCCTTTTGGTAGAAATGTCATACGCTTTTGCAAGAGTGAACTGCCCCTCGGCTTCTATAACCTACATTGGTTGTAAAGATGGAAATATGTTTTTATAGCCGCTGGAATTGTCATTGAATAATAGAGATTTACCGCCCCTCCCCTCCCCCAACCCCCAACGACTGACAGCCACATTTACACTTTGAACACGCGAAGCAGATGCCAAGTACTAGTAATGGACTCTCTTAAGGCTTACCAATCATAAATTATTGGTTAACGAAGCCATAGACATTGGGATTAATATCATAAGTAACTAGGCGAAACGACTAATTTCCTGACGCCTTCAATTAGACAATTTCATTGCAACTATCGGAATGTTGGTTCTCTGAGTTAAATTTTCATAGTTCAGCTTTTATCAATTATCTTCTTCGTCTTTTTGCAGCTTTAACCCAGCTAATATTTTCGCTGACTACAGTTTGAACTCAGCCAGTTCCAGTCAAGCATTCAGCAGTCACTACCAAAGTACTTTTGCTCATAAGCAAAGAAGTACCTCAACACAATCACACCCGGCTGGGAAAGTTAACAAGCCTGACCCCACCCATGTCCATTTCTTGTTTGAAAATCCCCGCTTCATAAACGAGCCTGTCTGCCATGCAAGCACAAAGGCAGCTAAAAAGCAGCAGCATATTTGGTGGCCTAATGAAATCCCAGTGGAAGTTAAATTAAAGCCAGTATACTCTTCAAACACGACCAGTCGCTCTGACTTCAGAAGCCCCGACGGGAGACCGATGGGCCTCACCAGATTCAGCTGTATTGAGGGCAAGCGGAAGGCTGCAGCAGGTATCGTTCCAGTCACCGAGCTCCCATCGAGGCATGTCAAGACAGAAAAAATTTCATACAACCATCAATTTGATTCCAGAAGAGATCGGAGAGAGCGTGGAAAATTGCATGGAAGTTTTGTATGGGATACATCAGGCAAGGCTGTAGAACAGAAGTCGCGTCGATTTGCAAAGAAGCATTTTGCATGTTCTGATTCGGTTGACATTACCACACATTTTACGCCAAAAGAGACAGAAGGACACGCGACAGCGTCTATGGAAATTTGGAATGTAGACCCACACCTAAGCTGTAGCTCAAAACCCAGTGAAGATTCCTTGAGTGCAGTGACTGCGAGTTCTACTACACAAGATGTCCTAAAAGCAAACGAATCCAAATTGGCAGTTCCAGCTTTTGATCCAACCCCAAAAAGTCATGCCATTTATACTGGACTCTTTGCAAACTTGGACCAAAAATCTGTTCCCAGAGAAGCGTTGCAGAGGAGAAAAGATGACTCCCCACCTCCACATTTGTGTTAAAATTAGGGACATAATTTGTAAACATTTTATCGTACGTGAAACAACCTTTATAACATTTATTGTATTTTAATAAATTTTCGTATTAAAACCATTTTGTAGAAAATTTTGTTTTGAACAATTGTCAAAGTGTCTATATAATAGGATGACTTTTCGTATCAATAGACTTTTCGCCCATAATCAAACATAGAGTCAATATTTCCAAGCGAAGTTCTACAGGTTTTTATAATGATATAATAATCAGCTGCTTACAAGGAGCACATCCTTCCCATACAAACTCACTGTGGAAGAAGCAACAATTGGTTTGATTTGTTCTGAAGTGCTGAGCAGTCCCATTTAGCCAAACCCACATATAAGAACCTGCTTTTGTAAGATCCTCGTTTAACTCAATTTTCAGGATCAAAATGAAAATTAGAAAAAAGAGGGAACAAAGCTCAAAGATCGAAATAATCACCTGAAACACAGCTCTGAGGTGCAATTTCAAAGTACTAAACTGAACGAACATTAACTGAAAAATGTAGATTCTTATATGCGGGTTTCTACTGTAGTTAGTTTAAGATGCATCGACGATTAGTCAATTTCTGGATAGCAAGGCATGAAAAAAGGCCCCAGCAATAGGAGTCAGCTAATTCAACAGGGCCAGTCATTCTTTAAATATGTAATTTGCATAGTAAAATGCCTAAATAAAAATACCTCTTACAATTTACTTCAACAACGACATCAGTTATAAAGTAGATAGATCTTGGCAAAATCTTGGCAAGACGATGATAACTAAATTTCTTTTTGTATCAACTAAGGTAAAAAATTGAAAGACTCTGCAGAGGATGAAAGAGAAAAAAACGTTGGACAGTTTGAGCATCTGTGCTATCCTATTAAACTTACGCTACCTTCTACTTTATTCACAGATATTACGACATTATCTTAGTGTAACAGAAGTTGTTTTGTGATATGTGATTATGTACAACATATAGATTCTACTTAAAAGTAATTAAAACATTCTCAAACACAAACAGATTTACTTTCTACTGTTTATCTATTTACTTGTTCAAGCAAAAGACTCATAAATTAAAACACTTAAAAAGTAATCGTAAGGGAATCCTTAAAGAGTGCGGTGGAATTGATTAACCTTGGAACTATCATTTACAATTGAAAGTTTTGTTCTATTTGGAACTGTTTGGAACTACGAGAACCAATCGATATTCCTGCTGTATAATATACCAACATAGATATCACAAGGATAAGGGTAGGGATATAATTCTGGCTTCACTCAGAACAACAAGTCTTTTTAAGGAAAAAAAGAGTGTATTTACAGATTTAAATGTGACTTGACTTGCTGTAATTCATGCCCTTGATTATTTCAGACTTGCGACCATATAGAGCCTCATAAGACGGCTGAGGTAGCCAAGAACATATGAGAATTCAACCATTCCTGTCACTAAAAGGCCATACAGATTTCGCGACTGTTTACGTGGAGTGGGCTTAAGTGTACAAGTGTGATCGTTTTCGCAAGTGTTTACACGAGAAAGCGATTCATCCCATTCAGGTAGCCTGGCATCGTATTTGAAATTCGCAAACGAGATAGATACTTTTTAGCTTTGACCATAGATGGCTTTGGTGCCATAATAATCAACATCAGTTTTCACAACAAAAGCGAATAACATAATTATCCCATTTCTAATCGCAAAATTATCCGATATGCTCGGTATTGTATACTTCAGTAACACGGAAATTTGATTTTGTTTTTGTATGTTTTCTGCTACATTTTTCGAACCCAAACTGATGCTTTGGTCATCCACTGACGACTCGTGGATAATCCCACCTGTTTTCTTGCGGATCTTCCATGAGTGGGCTTGCAACTTTGTAAACGCAAATACAGAGTAAAAAGAATGCATAGATCGGATCTCATAAGTCGGCTAGCCAACCTCATGTAAACACGCCCTCAGTGGATCTATGGGCCTTTAATATTAAAGCAGGTGCAAAAATTATGATATATTCTCAACAAGTTTCATCGAAATTGTTTTGCTGAGAAGATTGGAAAAAGAATCTGTAAACCTAGCACAAAGAAACATAAGATCGCCTGTCTAAATTTTCTCTAAAAAATATAATACTGCCAAACGAAGCTTGGAAGAGCAGCTCCAAGATAGCAAATAAACTTTATAAAGTTGCATTGATGACCTGGAGGCAAAGGTGAAGAGAAAAGAGAGCAACCCATTGAACTTAAAGGACACCTTTTAAAGCAACGGGGAACTGAAAGTAGAATTGAAAACTAGAGTTTCTTATAAAGACCCACATCTTTTCAAGCCGAGGCATATTGTCGCAAGCCTGACAAGCCATTAAGAACCCAACAATATTTTACTTTGACCTACTTTTTCTGCATGTAACTTATCTTTTTTTCCTCCCTTTACCTTTTTTACCCTTCTTTCCTTTCTTCTTCTTGCTTTTCAATGCCTTTCGCATTTTGTACGCCCTCCAAAATGATTGTATAACAGTAGCAGCTTTAATCATCGATCTTAACTCTCTTTCTGCTGCTTCACGTCTCTCCTTCGCAATTCTTCTCTCTTCCATAATTTGTGTGTACTCTTCTTCCAAAGTTTTGAATTTTTCCTCTAATTCTTTCAGCTGGCGTTTTTCTTCCGTGTAAATTGCATCCAGTTCATCGAATTCATCCTATTATATGGACACAAAAAACTTCGGAATCAAACATTTTATATCTTGAGTATTTCTTGTTAACCCAAGTAGACTTCGTTATTTTGGGGTTTTTACGAGAAAGTTATCGTGTAGTAAGTTGTCATTAGACACACTAAATAAATAATTAATTGCAGAACATAGTAGAATATAAAGATTGTAGAACAGGATCTGCACGTTGATCTATTGAAACAACGAGGCAGTGATAGTAGAGAAGATATTTCAGAATAGCAAATATCTGAGCTTTAGGGGAAATGCTTCAGCTCTGGGAAATTATTTGGTTGAAACTTGTATTATATTTTAAACATAACATTACAGCATTTACAATGACGGAGGTATTCTATCAGCTTTGTTGTTATTAGAAAATTAGGTGAATTTAGACTAGGTAAAATATCAGATTCTAAGAAACTGCTTACCTGTCTCTCACTCATGTCGTTGTCGAACTTCTGAACCCAATTTTCAACCTCTGTTTCCATTTTATACTTTCGCTAAAAAGGATTTATGAATCAGGAAGGTTAAAAAATTCAAGCAGAAGAGAGAAATGCAATGTGTCTTGTATTTTGCAAATTAATAACTGAAAGTGGTCTGATAATCATATTTATAATCACGAATAATTCTTGAAAAAATCAAAAATTAACGGCAATAGGGATAAGATCTGCCTTTTATATGAAATTGGTAAGTCTTCTTGCTGTTGCCAAATCGATAGTTGTTCTTGGAGTTCAATAAGACACAAAAATGGAGGAAAGTCCCATGCTTGGTATCTCCAGAAAATGTAAGGCAAAAGAACAGGCGAAGAACAAAAAGTTTAAGTATACTAGGTTTAGAATCGAGTTTAAAAAGAGCAATCCATTTTCAGTGAATGTCTTTTTAATACAGTGGAATCCCAATATAACGAACTCTGAAGGGAACCCGAAAATAGTTTGTTATATCAGGAGTTCGTTAAACCTGGAGAAAATTGTTTTCAGGTCCTTTCGCAGTTCACGCCTAAAAAACTGTGATGGGCATGTTCAGGCTAACTTATATGAACATTTAACTCCAAAAAACCAAGCTGAATTCAAACTTTACTAATGGTTAGTCATTTCAAATGAAAATCTTTATGTTCCTCTTATAATTTGGGACCCAGACATTGGCAAAGCTGGTATCATTTCACTTCAAGTTGGCGGCTGAATGACGTTTTCGATTACTTCACATTCTTCTTTGTCTTCTTCTGGTTCTCCATCTGGGTCCCTCAATAACATTTGTTCGTTGCTCATTGCCAATGTCTCATATGTAAAACGGTATTCGTTAGTGTCAATGTACTCATTCGCAGTAATTTCTGACGCAATCAAACTTTCATCTCATTCTCTGAGTGTATCAACCAGGGCTTAAAATGTATCATCGGCATGTTTTGCCGATTATAAAAAAGATTTCCCACCAGATTAAGTGCTAAAGGAACACCGAAAATAAATAAATAAAAATAACAGATGAAAAAGTTTTGAAAAGTTCCTGATATCGTGGGTAATTATGATGAAGGGACCTAAAAATTGGTTCCTAATAACAAGAGTTCGTTATATCCGGGGTTCGTTTTACCGAGAAAATTTATAAGGAGTTTGTTAGGCAGAATCCAAGTGACCAGACATTTAGTTCGTTATACCGGGAAGTTTGTTATATCGGGGGTTCGCTATAGCTATATCGGGATTCCACTGTATGTACTTTTGTTTCTAGCAAGTTAAACGTTCTTTGGCATTTTTTAGCTATACCTGCGATCTAATCTCTCAGTTATAAGAAAATCAACAAGAAAGCTGTTATTTTTGTCTATTTTCAGTTCCCACCTGTTTTCATTTTGCTCCACTTTAAGAGCCCATTTCTAATTATATACCTTTTAAGTCGGAGTAATGCAAATACCAAAATGAATACATGAAACATAATCTAACAGAATCTAACAGTTGTCTGTGAATCTAACAGCCTTCCTGTTTTTATATCAAACGGTCACAGCACTTCTTTATGATAGATTGCACACTATATGATAGATTGATTTGATGGAATTTTAAGTTTCATGAAAAAAATTCAAATAGGGGATGATTCTAACACAGATAATTGAAATAATTATTTACATCCGATGGCAAACCGTCACTTTTTTGTTAAGACCAAGAAAACAAATACTTTAGCTCATTATATAGGCCTCTATCACGGGTCTGTTAACTTGTATACTTGTTAGGTGCCATCATATACCCCCTCCTCACTGAAGTCCCTTAAACACATTGCATTATAATAATAATAATGATAATAATAATAATGAATCATGACCAGTATCTCCACAGGGTGGATCTTCATCTGGTTGGTAAATACTACATGATGTAAAAGTTGCTATATGAAAAGTACTTGTAGCTCTGTGTATCATAAAATATTTAACTATTGCTACTTTCCATAGGTACATTATTACAAATTAGAATTGTCCCTTGAATTTCTAGGTAGACTATGTTTTCTAATGATTCTATGCCATAAATCTTGATTCTAAGTAATATGCCATAAATCTTGATTCTAAGTAATATGCCACGAATCTTGATTCTGTAGGTGTCAATATTTTGGTTGAAAATAAGCAAGTTATTCACCTTTCTGAGTGCCAGTTCACTTTCCCTGTGAGATGATAGATTGCTCTGGAGTGCCTGCTTTAACTGGATTATCTCTTGTTGCAATTTCGCTTTCTTGCCATCTGAATTTTTCAGCTCTCCTGATTCAGCCTTAGCTGCATCAGCAATTATTCTGTGATTTTGATCTTCTGAATTCTTTTCAACATTATGGATACTGGTTTTAAGGTTCTTTATTGTGTCATTTAGTTGATCAATCTACAGATAAAAAATCAATGAATTATGATATCATTTCATCTCTTAACAAAAATTCGCATTTTCAGAAAATGAAACTGCGCAGAACATACAATCTTTGCCAAAATTGTTTACAATGTTGTTCAATTTGGCTGGTTTGATGCTTAAGGTAAATAATTTTCACTGAAAGCTGTATGAAGGTATGGAGAAAATAAATCAAAATTGTACAGGGGGAGAGGGTTTAAATTTTGGAAGTGGCAGTGATATTTTGGTATATCCTATGCCCAATCTTTGGGTTGTGCGTCCTATGTAGCCAGAATCACACTTGCACGTTAATTCATAAATAATGGAACTATTTTGGTTGATAGGAACGCAATCCTTTTGAACGGATGGAAGGGCTCTCCTAGTGCTGTAAACAATAAGAGGATTGACAGCAAAGAAACATTTTGTTATGGCTTGCCTAATCTGACTCTTGAATCACAAGGAAGTGTTACCAATCCATGGATGTTTCAAATAAACTTTTGAACAGCTGAAAAACTTGTGATCTTCTCCTTAGTATAAGATAAAACAATGTCTTCCGGATAGCTTATTTCGATCCACAACTGGGTTATATTTTTCATTGTGTTCTTTCGGACCCTTATTCTGACACTTTATGCTCTGAGGAGTGTCAGACGAAAAAGCTTTTAGCCAAAATATTGTAAAATGTTTGATTATTTTTAGCCATTTTCAAGTTCTGTACTGTATATTGTTAACAGAATTTGAGAAGTTAAGCAAGTAGTGAGTAGCGACTCTACTATTATTCACACACAATTCCTAAGGCTGGAAACATAGAGAGTCTGTCCCTTTTTATTCAGTCCCTCGAGAGGCAGCTTGGTCCCAGGGGTGATCCACAAAACTGGACCCCCTGGACCTCAATGAAAATGATTCAAAAAACTGGACCTCGATGAAAATGAATTATATTGCAAAAAACCTAAGGCTGCGATAACAACAACATTATTTGAATATCATGCACTGGAAAAAATGAGGGGAAATTTTCCCAGCCACATGTCAAGCAGTCTGAATTCATATTCATATTTACCTCATTGTCTTTATCTTTTATTGCTGCATCGAGATTTGCACCCAGCTTATTGATAGTAGCTTGGGCTTTTCTTTCTTTGATGTTCAGGTCAACAAATTGTTTCACCCGTTCTAGTTCTTCCCCAGGGCTTGTTACAAGTCGCAAAAAGACAAGATCCTTCAAAGAGTAGAGTCCATCGATCATATTATTTGCCTCATAAGGCCTTTCTTTTCTTTCAGCATTTATCACCTTCAATGCTGATGGGTTTTTGCCAAAATACCGCACGATGCTCTTTATTGTACCCTTAAGATTTTCTTGCAAAATATCTACAGTCTGTCGAAGCTCGTCCGATTCTGCTCGGGCAAGCCAGTCAGAAACTTGACTAAGCTGACTTTCAGGCCTGGAAGTGCCGTCTTCTGACTGGCTATCAACAACATCGACTTCGCTGTTTTGGCGTAATGTTTTGCGGTATTGCTTTGATGCCCTACGATACTTGTTTTCGATGATATCATACTCTTCAATTAGAGAAACTAATTCTGACCCAAGCAAGACAGAGAACCTTTTAATATTTTCAAGAATGTAAGGAAGAAGTGTTACGATTTCAACCTTACGGATGCAATCATCGATAACTGAAACAACTCTTTGTGATTCGACTGAGGAAAGCTTCCTTCTGCCAGGCTCTAAAGACTTTAAGAATTCATTGTTATTGTCTCCTTTCTTTTTATTTTGTTTTGCCTTGATTTGCAAATCTTCGATGCCATTTGACAACAAATTGATGCTATTCGATTCTCCCCGTTGATCGTCGAATGTTGCAGCGGCCATTTTTCGTTTCGGAACTGGAACAAATTTGTCATGGCAACAAAATAATAAAATCAAAATGAGGCTGCTGCAAATATAACCTCTTGACGAGACGAACTTTTTCAGAAATATATTCCGAAAAGAATTTAGAATCGTCCTGCGTACAAAAAGTAAGAAACGGGGGGCACGAAATTGCGCATGCTCCTTAGTTTTTTAATTTTTTAAATCCATAAATTATTTTTCATTGTCACACTGCCACTGTTGCCAGAACTTTTTGGTGGCTGATGACAACGACATGTGACCTTCCAAAGTCGTGTCTAATTCTGTAGACTATGCTCAAAGTTATTAGCCACTCTTGTATGTTGTATCTATGCATCTTGTTTGAACTAAAGCTCTGCCTAAACGACATCAAGTACTTAAGGGTAGGCCAGTAAACTGCAAATCTCTACTATTTGAGAAAAGAAATGTAAAACTGAAATGTACCGTTCGGTTTGAAACCATATTTAGAAACGAGTTTCATCGGGGAGCAATAATCCCTAGTGTTTCTATTATTTGTGCTTTTGATAAACCGTTAAATTATCAGCCTGGTAAATTTTCAGCCAATGGGGTGCTGTACCCTAAAGCACTTTTTACGGAGGCGCTGTACCCTAAAGCACATTGTCCGTCGGCACATGAAGGATATTTGCCGGGCAAAAGAATGCAATTTTCGTACCCACCCCACCCTGTAACCTTCTTCCAACAATTGTAACGCATCAACATTTCTGCAGTAGTTGAACTTTCAAAGTATAGCACTAAAGTATGAAAATTTGAAATAGAAACGGGTTATTACTTATTACAGATTGAGGGTGCTAAAACGTGTTAGAAATGAAGAGCAGGGCGATTTTGTATCGATTTTAAGAACATTTTGGAAATTTTTGGGGGGTTAAAACGCCAGTAGCCCCCCCCCCACTTTCACGGTCCCTGTTTCTGTACCCCTCCGGAAAAAAAATTCGGCTTCGCCCCTGGATAAAAAGCTGAAACTCTGTAATACCTTGTCTTTTCCAAATGGCTCTTAACTGGTCGCTCTTCTTGTTTTGGCAACTTGGCTGTAACTACAATCCTTCACAAAATATATTGAGACCAGTGATGAAATCAGGAAAGATTTATTAACAGTAATCTAGTAGGATTGTATTTGATCCCCTCCCCCTTCAAGCAATGTTGTTGAGATCTTGTTATAGTATACGGTCTTTGCACACATGATTAGCAACTATTTCACCAAATCTCAACAAACAACATTGCTTGGAGGGGGCGGGGGAGGGAAAGGCACAGTGGAAGGGTTGAGCAACGAATACGTCTGTCAGGAGCCTAAGTAAAAATTACGAATGGTTTACAAAATAATTTCGATAGGTTTTCTTTTGGGTAAATACGCCAAACAGACTTTAGCATTCTTGCGAGGTGGGAAGGAAAAGTAGTCTCACAATTTTTGTGGACGATTGCAGATGCTTGTGATTGAAGGGATAGGCGTTGCGAAGGCGTCGTATGATGACGTATAGTTACGCCCCCAAAAGTTACGGCTGGTCTAAAGCCCCGGTCAAACGATCCAACATTTCACCCAACATTTCATTGAACATTTGATTTCATGTTTAATGATGTTCAGTGCTGGGGTGGTCAAACGATCCAACATTTCACTGAACTTGATGTTCAGTGAAATGTTGGGTGAAATGTTAGATCGTTTGACCGGGGCTTAACGCATATCTCCATTCATTTTGTTTTATAAGAATCCGTCCTTGAGAAACCGAGCCCTAAAATGACCAAAAAGAGTAAGATACCATAGTACTTATCATTCTCTATCTTTTAAAGATTAGGGTGAAATAATTTTTTCGACGATCTCTGGTAATTACTTTCTGTTAAATTGACATAGATAATTACAGTAGAAAGAAGATCACCTTGCGACCTACTGGGTGTTTCATTTCGCGTTATCTCATGTCCTAAAAAGTAATTCTTCAGCATTTTGCATTTAAGAAGCCTTTGAGCAACTTAAAAACTGAAATCAAAAAATTAGAATCTGAGTGCTAATTCTGAGTTTAGCTTCTTACGAAAAATGAGTGCATTCTGCATATAGATTTCCAGTAGCTTCGAATATCAGCTGAGTGTGGTGTTCGCGCTGGTTTTATATTGGAATCCTGGTTCATTTCTCGTTGCTTGATATGAACGACATTACGACACTCACAACAAACAGAAATATTATTTGTATCACATTCCTACTGGACAAAAGTCTTTTTTTAGAATATCAAAATTTGTCTAGAAAATGTGTCTAGTCTAGAGATGTTATCATTGTGTCTAGAAGAGAGTGTTTCATCAAATCGAATGTCTAGAGCTATTCTGCCTACACACTGTTAGAGGGAGCAAACGCTAAAAGATAGCAGGGGCGTCGCGACTGGGGGTATGGGGGTGTCACACCTTCCCAATAGTATCTCAATAGGAAATTTCAGGTAAAATCCGCTCAGTGGAAGAATCGCTTTAGGTATTTGAAAGACCTTCATGTCATAAAGTCAAGAAAGGATCAAGCAAAGGTAGTTGCTCCGTTGGTTAAATATGCTATTCCTTGATATGAATGAAGGTAAACAAACTAATGATTTGAAGACTTGAAGATTTCTTGTTGGAGATTTGAAGATTTCTAAATCTAAAAATCCAGGCCCTCTTTAGGGAAAATTGTGTCTTGTGTCCATTTCCCCTAAAGTTTCTCGGTAGAATCGTCAACTGCAATTCACTATGAGCTCCAGATTTTTCTTAACATTCAAAAGGCATGCTTAGAAGGAAAGAGGAATCTAAATCGACAACCAGTGCTTCTTGTTACATAGCTTTAGAAGTAACGATAACATGGTATTTTTCATAACCGCGGCGAAATTGTACCAGTTATTTTTATCTGCTGTTCAATTTGTTTGCAAAAAAAATAAGATATCAATAGGATTAGGAGGATTGCTTTAGTTAAATGTGCTAAAAAGAGTGCATTTTCCAGGTAACTAAAACCATCAAAATTCGACAATTTGCTGCTCTTTTGGCGGCAACCATGGTAGTAGCTATATTCTTTACCCGTTCCGATATAGAGATTTGACAAAACTATTAGGAAAGTCGGCTATTATCGTGTAAAAATAACTAGTTGCTAATTATATACAGAGTTAAGCCTAATTTACACGAGACGAATTTTCGCGGAAAGCGAATTTTTCGCTACGAAATTTTTAGCTGCGAATTTTTCTCTCGAATTCTAAGTTCAATTTACACTGGCGAAATTTTTATGCGAATTCGCTGCGAATATTACAAAAAAATATAGCGACTGTCCGAAGAGTGCTCTTATCAGCAAGTTTTAAATTTTAAATTTATCAAAAAAGCGAGCAAAACAGCAAGCAGACATACTGGATTAGAAAAATTTATTCAGGACGTCTTTAGAAGGGGGAATTCCATCTTTCGGTAAGAGAGGTTTACGTTTACATTTATAAGACAAGAATAACTTCTTCAAATACTTTCAAAGGTCGTTATCGAAGCTCGCACAATCATGCGAGATCCTGCTCAAAACTGTTGCTGTTGAGCAGGCCAATAAGCAGCCAACAGTTCAGCAATTTGAAGAAATTCTTGCCTATTATTTTTTATTTCTGACATATTGGTACAACGATGAAACTTTCAGTTCTCGTCAATTTGAAATTCAAATGTTTGAATAATGATCTGATATGAATCCACTTACATGAATTGTGTACGAGGAACAGAAAATCTATTTTATTGACGTTTTAAAGGTGAAAGTGTTTGAGAAAAAGAATGCGGATTGACGTAGGCCATCTGAAACCAAAACAGAAGTCAGATGTCTTCAAATGCTGTTCTGATTGGTTTATTTCACAAGGCGAAAAATTTCGCAGCGAAAAAGTAGGAATGGTTTCTACTTTTTCGCAGCGAATTTTCTAATCCCTACTTCAGCGCATATTTTTCGCGCATTCGCGGCGAAAAATTCGCTTCGCACGAAAAAATTCGTCTCGTGTAGATCAGGCTTTAGATTGACAAAATGTATTGCAGAGGTTTGTGACAGTAAATAAAGAATTTCAGGCAAAAATTTTTAATCAGGTAAATTTGTAGTCCACACCCCCCAACAAGGCTTGGCTCGCGACGGCCCTGAAAGATAGTAACGGTCAACGGAACACAGGGGGCTTTGTATATTATTTGCAAGCTTGTTCATCTTTGAAAGTATGTACCTATTCGTGTGGTTATGTGTCCTTTGGCAATAAATATTCTGTTGCCTAGTATATTATGCATAGAAGAAAATGTTTTTTATTTATAAAAATTTTTCTTTGCAGTCCTCTCCACTCCAACTTTTTACATATTTTTTAAAAGGGTAGACGATTAATGCTTTATAAACCTCTACTTGACAAGCACCAATAGGCATACGAAAAACACTATGGCATATGAAGTAGTTTGGGAACACAACTGCCTCAACTTTGTACGCGGTATTTGTCATTATGGGTCAAAGTTCTTCGCATGACCCAATCAAAAAATCAGTTCTAAGCAAGATACCAAGGAATATTCATATCCGGTAATAACCTGTTTAGGAGATCTTATCATGAGCCCAATGGTAGCAAGAATTAATGCTGGGAAAAATTGAGCATAACTTCTGACCGTCTTATCGTAAATAAGAGCGTGCTATAAATAAGTTTGAACATGGTTAAGATCTATGCTTGGAGTAATGCATAAGCTAATGATGATAGTGCAATAATCCCCATAAATGAAATGGTGCAAGTTAAATCATAATGCATGGACAAAAGCCATTTTGAAATACTGTGTTGGCGCCCCAAGGCTTGGGACTTTCATGCCCTGGTTGAAACAATACTGAACTCAAATACAGGTCGAGTTGACCTCCTCAAAAAAAACGCTACAAACGCTACAAACAAGTTCAACTGGATTTTCTGCCGATGCTCATATGTTGTCTGTAGTCTGTACCTACTCTTGTATCGCTCTGGGATGCGATCTCAATGACTCTAATTTCATGCAAAAAGATTCAGTTAATTCATTTCAAATTAACATTGCTCAGACGGACTAAGGTAGAGCTAAGCACTGCAACTATGTCGACAATTGTCTCTTAAAAACGATTTTCTTAGGAGGGTCAATGTGACATCGTTGATACGTGGAAACCTCAAGAACAAGGTCAAAGATTTCTTGTTTTTCTCACTAACTGAAAGCAGGCATTGATTCAATTCAAGCCCGAATGTTTAACATGGCTTCTACGACAGCATCGGGTGGCTGCATGAAATTTTCTATCAATGATATATCTTTTAAGATTGAACGTTTTATAAAAATTGTGTTTGAGTTTATATTGGCATTGAGTTTCGAGAAATATAACTAACAATGTAAAAGTGGATAGCTATTCCTGTTCTTGATTTTGGCTTTTATTAATCCAGTTTTTCCTTCATCAGAACGTCCTACATCGAGTATATGCATCGAGCATCCAAATACACTTTACAATTTTACAACAGTGAATGGAACATTTACCACTGCGTCCCAAGTCGAGAGAGGACTTTGGACCAACATTTATTTTTACACCGAATTGCCATGTTGCCTTGGATATAACTAGCATTTTTCTAAAGACACGCGAATCAAAAGCTGTAAATCAGATCTGACTTTTGTCGAATGGGCGATACGATCTATGGGCAATTAGAACATTTAGGTGACTCCACTTTCTTTGTCAAAATCAAATGGTCAGTTTCTAAGGGAAGGTCTGTCAAAAGGCTTCCAGACTACAGCGATAAGTAGTGTTTAATGATTCATCATGCACACCATTGTTGCTTGTTTATGCTCCTGGTAATGGAAGAGAAATTGTCCAAATTTGGTCATTTTGCATTGGGCTAGCATATTGTACGGTGGGTGCCAGAACTAAGATTACTTAAACATGCTTGCGTGTAATTGTCGCCAAACCTGAATTTGACAATGCTCTCTCTGCCCTCTGAATTAGTTTCTAAAGTTGTCACTCGGGCTAGACAAGCAGGAGCCAGTGCTTGCGCAAGAGGCCTTGATAAGGTAGAAGATAAAAGTAAAAAAACATGTTATTCAAAGGCTCTAACAATAGCAGGCATGATGACGGGCATGATACTCATATATATATGAATAGGGTTTTTATCGTGCTTTGTAGCTACGGTGTGTAAGGACAATATTTTCACTGCATAACAACATTGGATACTTAAAATGCAGGTTTTGTATTCTAGTGACGTTGCATAAAGGCATAACCAGCCCTGAAAATATATTCATAATATCATGTTCTTACAGATCAATAGTTCTTTGATTTCTATTAATTTCTGAGGCATTTTGAGGCTCTAGAAGCATGTGATCGTGGAATAGGATAGTTATCTGCTCACATGCCAAAGATTCACAAGACTGTAAAAGGTCTTAAACCGGCTAAAACTAAAATCTTGAAGCTGATAGTGTTGTAGGCGCAGTCCACTTAAAAGGCTTTTATGCGATTAATTACAACCGGGTTAAGAGAGTTCAGGGATTGAGAGAGCAAGAAAGGTGTCATCGGCATAGCGGAGTCAAAAAACCTGGAGTGCTTGCCTGTAGTGTTTGCAAAACAAGGGGCATTGGGACGTGTTGAAAAGTGGGGCACAGCGAAGAGGCATGAATTAAGTGCAAATGGGGAAAGTGGGGACATGAAACACTAAATGCCTTTGTAGATTGTGCGAAGTGACCCCTGGCCCTGAGCGTTTCGGCTTGAGTTAAGCTATGTTCACATTACTCCGTATTTGTCTTTATCCCTTTTCATATCGAGCCGTTTTACATTGTTCACACTGCTCCGTATATATTTGATAACGGAACGAAAACGATGAAGCGTTCACATTGCTCCGCTCTGGATAGAAAGGAAAACGCCACGAACTGGTTTACAGACCTTGCGACTGCTGATAAATTTTTCAAACAACTCACTGTCACTAATATTCCTCTAAGTAGTGTACTAACTTAGAGTGAATCAGCCATGTTAAGAAAAGTTGTTCAAATTGGCGCGGTCTAAGCTTCTTTCTGTGTTGTTGTTGTTGTTATCGTTTTCAAAAGTATCCGTTTTCGGTGTTCACACTGCGTTTTGCGTTTTCGAATGTCTCCGTTTTCAAAAGTCTCCGTTTTCAAAGTGCATTTTCAAAATTCTCCGTTTTCGCAGCGGAGCAGTGTGAACACAAGGTGAAAACGGATACTTTTTTATCCGTTTTCATTGGAATCCGGAGCAATGTGAACTGAATACCGATTTAACTGAAAATTTGAATGCGTCATATCACTGAATAAAACCAAAAAGATTTCGGTCAGTTCAAAGGAGCTTGAAACCATTGAGCGGAGAGATGGAACCATCCAAATTATCCCCCTAAAGCTGCGCATGATCTTGGCTCAATCGTCTTGATATCAACTGGTTAAATACTAGCGACAAATTAAAGGTTCCTGGTAAACTGGGTGGAACAGATTTTCAAAACTGACACAACAACGTTTTAACATTTTCACGACATTTCACAATTTCAATTTGGTTTGTATATAAAAACGGAATTCAACTACATGAAAAACAGTAGAAATAATGAAAGCATCATAAATGGTTGACCAATCTTAATGACATTAAGTAACTAATAAATTATTTACCTCTAATTTTACATCCTTTCAAAAATGCTTTGGGCTGCAAATGTATCTTGAAGAAATACTCTACAATTAAGGAATAACATTTGCAGGAACATGTGGTTCTATGCTCAAAATATCAAGCATATGAAAGGATATAAATTTAGGAAAATTCAATGAATATAACTTATATATATAGCTATTTATAAAACTACAGCTAATATTCCTTCAAAAAGAGCCGAAGCTGGTTCTATTCACCTTAATTGTACAAGGCAGAGATTGTCACAGAGAAGGGTTAGCAAATAGAACCTTTTTAAAAAGCACAATCTGCGCTTCAATAATATTTAAAATTTTGAAATCTTAAAATTAGGTGGGCTTTCGATGACCCTGCTTCCCCCTTGCTCGAAGGAAGGACATTTAAAACCTTAAATGATTTTATCAAAAACTTGGAAAAGCCTGATGTCCTTGGCAGTACTGAAATTCAAATCATATCGATCTTCGTCGGCACCATCTTGAATATGCATATGGAATTTCAAATAAAAAAAACTTCATAGAATAAAATTCATTTTTACATCTCATCACTCTACAAGATACTTGCTTAGTTGACCACGTTTTGAAACGAAACTATTGCGATTGCAGTCTTTTTCGTGGTAGCTTTGGGTGAGTTTTTCTCGGCATCTAATCCAGAGCCAAAGCGGGTTTGGTATTCTTGGCCTATAAGATGTGATTCTATATATCGTAAACAAGACGGAATATGCTGAAATATCAATTTGAAATTACGTGGGTATGTTAGCTCGTGGGAGTTTACAAACGATAAAGCGAATGGAGGCGTGTAGTCCTTCCCCCGAGAACATTGACCTTGTTTTGGAATGGAGATTTCACAAAGCAGTGTGTTACACTCATTATTTTTAGATAGCCTTACATTTAAGGCAATTTGTTGGTGGCATTTTCATTATTTTGTACCGTTTCACAAATGAAATTCCGACATTAGGAAATCGATCTTTAATTACAAAACTGCCCTTTCAAGACAGATCTCTTTTAAAATGCCGCGATAGCTTCAAGATTGACGAGAATATCCTATGGAAAGGGGAACTCAAATAAACATAGAAACCCATAATGAAAAGTCTTGTATTTAATGTCAATGAGCGCGAAACTTTTGTTTGTTATTAACATTTCATCTTCAAACAGGGTGAATGTAAGCTGCCGGAGCACGGGATAAATTTGCCTGTGACGAGAAGGATCCTAGTCGTGAACTTGGGAAGGACTGGAGGTCAAAGGGTGGTTGTAATTAAAGCATGAAGAAGACATTTGAGTACAATTAACATACCAAAGTAATATAACGAGATATATCTAGTCATTTATTGTTAACGATATGCAAAACACATCACTAAAAACACTCATTTTTCACCTAAACGTGAAACATTTGCTACGAATCGGCTTGGCCATTAAACATACCGAGGCAACAGAGGGCTAATATCAAATACAACAAGTACACTGGCCGGAAAATACGTACATTCAAATAGCGCGCTACTCAACTAATCAATACTCAAATTTCTGTTACAAAATTTCTTGATAGTGAAAGTATAAAATTAATACTCGTATAAGAAAAAATTTCGGCCTGTCGAGAAAGCAAAAGTTGCTAAAAACCCTCTGGCCTGAGACTGTTGGGCACTTTTTGTGTTCATGTGGTTTCGTTACCAACACTGTGGGTATATGATCCAGTGTTATTTTCCTTTGCTAGCTAAAAACTTACATCAAACTTTATCAGATAACTTTTTACTGCTTCATAGGTAGAGGTTCGCGATATTCTATCGTAGCCAATATGAAGGCATGATTATGTTCCATCATTCCTTCAAAACTTAAGACAGATAAAACTTGTCTGCTTTATAAAAACATGTTCAAACAGCTCTTTGTCAAGTATAGCTCCTTGTTCTGTTCTTATCACGGTTGAAAAATGGCAATTATGGTTGAAATTGAAGGTGAGGTGGAAAATATTAAGTCAAGGGACCGCTAAGCCCACAGAGACAAGGGGCCTTTTATCAGAGGATAGAATATCAGTATAAAGGGGTGCAGTCTCTTGTAACGAAAATGATGACAAATTCAGCCAAACATAATATTGCACTCAATTGCTAATAGCATCGTGCTTGTTTTCCAAAGTAAATTGCTAATTAACACAAAGCTAAATTACGGATAACTGACGTAGGAGTAATAGAAGACGATATCGCTAAGTCAACATGTGTTGTTTTCTATTTGGGAAAATTGTTCTCTATTAAAACAAGTTTACTATGATTGCATTTTGCAAGCCTTTTAGGAAAACCAATCACCAAGCATGATGTTCTCGTCAGTTTCTGCACTTGTTGGTTGCAATAATCTTTCTGTTGCTGTGATAGCAATTCAACTCCCATTACTGCAAATGACGAACGAACAATTGTCGTTCATGAGTAGCGTAATAGTCACGCCTCCGTCTCTTTCAAAGCTGGGATGGAGGAGAAGCCTCGTGTGTCAATATCTATAATGACACTTTCTGGGACAGCCAGTGTCGCTCCATGATAGCCAGAAAGCGCCGAGGCTGTGCTTGACCCCGTCTGATACCCATTCGAATCGCTTTCATCGTCAATCTGACTGAGCTCCCTTGCCGATATCATCGGCGTAACGTTGTCCTTGTATGTCAAATGGAATTGGGAAAAATCCACTCTCCAAACATTGTCAACAAAGCACCTCCCAGTGATCATTTCTTGGAACCGATGACCCCAGTAAATCTCCTTTGAGGTGTATGATTTCACGGCCTGAGTCACCATGCCTGTGTGGGGGACAGTGCCCTCAAGAATGATGACTACCTCTACATGGTTTCTAGATAGATCCAGGCTAGACATGTCGAATAGGGGGCTCTCTTCATCAATCGGATGAATCAGGTTCAGTGGGAAAATCGGAAATATTCTCATTGTATATTCAGTTTGTTTGAAATCGATAGTTAAAGATAAGTCACTCATATGAAAGGGTATAACTTCACCCTCTTTCGTAATTTTCGAGTGTATAAGCACAGCACGAACGTTACAGTCGTAAAGTCTTCGACGCCGTAAGTCAGCCACTCGGAACATAAGACAGAGTTTTGAGTCTCGAAGTGTAATTACGGCTTTGTTCGAAAAAACGACAGTATTTGCTCGGTTTTTTGGCCTCGAAAGCTTGGCGAAAGTCAATCCCAACATCGAGCATGTAATAAACAATCCGACAATAGTTTGTAGGACAAGAAGGATAACTCCCTCTGGGCACTCAGGGGTCACCTGTCGACCTCCGTAACCTATCGTTGTTTGAGTTTCGAGAGAGAAAAGAAAGGCTCCCGTCCATGAGTCAACATTATCAATACAATTTGCGCTCGATCCGTACCTTTTCCTTAGGTAATAAATTAGCCACCAGAGCGTGCCGAAAAATAGCCAACTCAATATGAAACTTGATGAGAAAAGAATGCTTATCCACCGCCATTTCGCGTCGATACACGTCGTAAAAAAGTCTGCGAGTAGCCTTTTGTGGTGAAGATGCATATTTTCGAACATTATCGGTGAACTTACGTTTTTCTCAGTTGGTATAAATCTTGGTATTTCGGTCAGGCCTTTAGGGAGGCGTTCTGACAACAGTAACTGTTTTTCAAGCTTAGCGGAATCGATAGAGGCTCCGTTTTGAAGCAGTCTTTTCTTACGGATAAAACTCATGCTTCCTAGGTTGACATCGCCGCTGCTATCACTCCTAAACTCTTTACTCTCCGGTGCGCCATTAACTTCTTCTAGCAAGGTTCCAGTTTCCATGCTAGGCGCCTCTTCGTCAAAGCCTAATTTCAACTGACTCGCCATTACGAATCACAGTCCCACGTGCTCTTTTGAAAGAAAGAATTCCTGTAAGCTCACGCCAATCGGCTTTGATTAATAAATCACGCCAATCGGCTACTCTCAATCCAACATCCTCAGCACTTGTGAGTGTCCACTGATCAACACCGATAACCTTGGGGAAACAAATGAAAAATCAGCTTCGTATTCACTTCTACAGACACGTGCAGAATGTTCTTCTTACAGCTCAAATGTAAACAAAACTACAAGCCAAAGGCCAGTAAAATCACTGCAGGTACAAGTTCATTGAAGAAATCACCAACCTTCCACTGGGGAATTACCTTACAACTGACACCCGCAAACTGATGTGTCGACCTCATATCGACGCAAAATTTGCTCGCTTCATTACCTCTTCTTACTGCCTCGATAGAAATCTTTAGATAAGAAAGGTTTAATTTTATTACGCTTTGAGAAAATTTGCAAGACAAAGGCAAGAGAGCCGTTTCTTTGGGATATAGGAAACAGAGCACAACCGAATCAGTCTTTTCACGTATTGTGAGTTCAATGAGCAAGCCTGAACTTATTCGTTGGCGGCCTGCACGGGAAATCATAACAAAAGGCTCTAGCCCACTATGTAGCAACATTAAAAGCTTCCAATTCAAAGAATTTTTGAAATGATAAAAGCGTTTTCCTGCCCTTTTGACTGTACGAGACAGAAACACAAGACCTCGGAGAAGGGATGTTGTGTTATCGTTAGTCCCTTAATTTTTCTCGGGGCTTTGAAAAAATAGGGGCTCTCGCGCAAAATGTTGCAATAAACAAAGTAAAAAATAAGAAATTGGCTACTTTTCGGATTTAATAAGGGAGCTCAGCCACTAACAGCCTAACAACCACTGCATCCATGCTTCGTACCAAGAAAGCTCACGGTTGATAGGAGCGTCCACCAATGCAGCAAACTACAAGCCTATGCGTGAGCAGCCTAGCAGAAGAACAGCACTAGCTAATCCTCCATTGAAAACATACGAAAACATTACCCGCTACTAATCGAGTAAACGATAAAGCATTATTTCTAAAGGCATATCCCATGTTCTTACTACCTAGCAAGGCATCATTCTTCTATGCAGAAAGAGTAGTAAGTTGAGCATTCAAAAAATACACAAAGCTCATACTTATGTTTTATTTACTGAAAGTCTCCTACATCCTTAGGTGCAGAAGTTTCCTATTTTGAAAGATATCTCAAGTAATCTTTTGCAATCTCGTGATTTTCCAAAAAATTGAATTGCCATTCTCCCTGCAGTTCCTGATTGGGAATCCTATATCCCGTTCTTACAATTCTGAGGTGAATTTTAATTTTATGGCTCAAAACAGTGGCGGAAATTATGGGGGTATGGGGGGAGGTGGGCTCGAGCAATCAACGATCTCGTCGGAAAATTTGGGTTTTCGTCGGATAATTGACAACCATTTAACGTCTCGAAATTACTCCAAGAAATCGTTCTGAAATGTGTTTTAAGGTAATTTAAGCAAATTTTCTTTCATTCAAAGTTGATCCACATTTTCCCGTTTTATCCCAGGGCCCTCTTTTAATCTCTCTGTGTCCCTTTTGTAAAATTTGAACATAACATATAATAAATAATCAAACAAAAAATATATCTAATTTCAATTCCGTAAAGATTAGCAGAAATTTCCATCAACTTTTAATCTTTCAGAACAAAATCAAAATAAACAAAAGCAAAATTGAACGCCACATAAAGCAAACAGTTGGATATGGGTGAAGAGCAACATTCATCAGAAAATACTATTTCAAGTGGGCAGCTCACTTGATAGAATTTCTGAAAATCGACTGTCTGTGAAAATGCTTCAGTACATCTTTAAATATGGGAATAAACGAAGGTAGCGAAACGTAAACGAAAAGTGAATCATGGTGTCTGGATAAAATGTGGTTAATCATTGACCAATAATTGTCAAAAATTTTGCAATTCACAAAACTTAATCAATAGCTTTATCTGGAAGCTGCCCTAGCAGTGGTGCCTCGACGTGTTTGTGGACAGGTTTCTGGACAGCATTGTGAAACACGCATTGCATGCGAGTCGCATAGCACAACAAATCAAATTTGTAAATCATTACTTTTGACGTCATCAATTGTTTTCTTCCAGTAAAGGCAATTACATTTAAGGCCTAACAGATAAAAAATCCACTTAGCTTAAATGCATTTTGCGTTTCAAAAACCTTGGGAAAAAACACAACAGGAGATATCCTCATACACTAATATTTACGAAAGCCTGTTGCGCTTGCCTGCCTTTCATTCAGTTCAACCAAAAAAGTCCAAGCCTGTCTTAAGCTTCTGGTTTTGTTTGGCTTTTGAAGTCGCCAATTTTTCTTCCGAAAGTTATTGAGACCTCGAAGCTATGCAGATGTTTGCAAAAGAGCAAAGTCGATGCTCCGGATTCGAGCTTATGTTATCTTTATTTGAAGGGGTAGCCTGCATGCAGACTTTACAAATAGAGGAACTTAGAGTAGAGAAAATAAAGAAGAAGAGATTTCCACTAATTACAAAGTCTGTACGCAGGCTATTGAAGGGGTAGAAAGTGCTCGTCTTAAGATTTATCATCCACCCCATTAACCTTCGCAACTTAACGCGAAACAGTCAGAGAAAGAAGGTTGTAACATACAAAACTTAACCTTATATGCAAATCCCGAAATCTTCATGTAAAAACTCTGGTCAAGTGACACTGCTAAGATGAATACTCAAGCTACAATATATTTAGAGGAAGTCCTAACCAAAGCTCAAAGCTATATTATAGCTCATTCTCTTTTATTCAAGGGATCATTTTATTTGAGCACTGAAGTTCGACTTGCCAAAAAATAAGAAGAACGAAAGGGCATGCCAAACTGCATGCATAAAAAAACTCAACAAAATACAATGCATTTTTGAAAATTTATTCTCCTGTTGTTAAAACAGATGGATTTTGTCAGCTCAAATGAAGCATGCGACTAAAAATGTCGCGCAAAGCTATTAATTTTTGGTCTTAGAAAAATTCAATAGAATATAGATGTGAAAGAATCAGTGTTGAAAAAAGAAAAACAAAACTCGAGCCTCAAATTATTAAAAAAAAAGATAGCCTTGGAAAGAATGTACCTACTTCTTATGAATAAGAAAAAGGATTGAATTCCACAATCATTAAATCTCCCGCTAGATTTAAATTATTTACATGTGCAAAGTAAAACTGTCGTTACAAATAAAGTGCAAGTCCGTGGTAAGACTCCACTTTAACCAGTTCAACAGCACATTTTGGAAAAAGTATCGATTAGACCCATCAAGTCGTTATTACACGTTTAAAGAATTCAAAATAAACAAAATATTGTCTTGTATTTGTGAAGATTGTCCTTTCGACTTTCTTCGCTAGCCTCGTTTTCAAACAACAAACTCATTCTCGTTTCATAATTTACAATCTTTATGCAAAAAATCCCTTGGAAATGATACAGATGAACGCCCGTTTTCGCGACTTCACTGGAGTTCATGTGGTGGTTGTTACCTATTCTCAATTTCCTTAACAGTCTTCCACAAAACCAGTGCGGCTAAATAAAAACCAAAGTACAAGTGGTTGGGAAATTTTCAAAGCCTTCATTGTCTGCTTCTAGCTTTGGTGTTGGTCAAAACAAAATAGTTTAATTGCAGAGGTGATAACAACATCAAAGAAAGCATCTCACGAAAGCTATCTAAATGCGATTAAATGCTTCTTATAAAAGCGGTTGCTGTCATATTACGAAATGGACACAACTACAACGTGAATTGTGGTCTGAGAAAATGATATTCATGATTATTAGAGAAAGTTAAATAACGTGCAAGCGAGTCATAACATTGAAAAGACGTCATGAAATCATAACGATCCAGCATTATACTCTAAAGGCAGCCAGGCAACGTTTAACTGACAAATAGTTCAGAGAGGCAGAAAGCGATAAAATAAGATATAAAGCAGATGAAATGAAAATAATGCTGTATCATTATTCTGGTGTTTTATGGCCCAAAGTGTGCCAGACAAAGAGTTTTATTATGTCTTAGAAGTTTGATTTATTTCAAAGTCAGTTGAAATCATAAAGCGGTTAAATTTTATAGTATCTTCTCTCCCTCTCTTGAATACTCCTCGATTATTTCTGTTTTCTGCCGGGGTGGAGAAGCGGTTACATTAGAGTGGGTAGGGTACACTTAATAAAATCTTCGTATAAAATTCTTCTTCCACAAAAAATCTACAATCATCAAAATCAAGCATATAATAAAATATCATCACTTCACCCAAATAATTATCTAAGCTGCTTTTTCTGCAAATAATTCGATATAATTGATTACACTCTTTTTTATAAGAACCAATAAATTCAAGTTCAGACATACTGTTCTCAAGTTTTCCGAAAATCTGAGGCTGGATTGTTCTAAATCTGCTCTAAAATTAATAAAGTGTAAGCAGTGCGATTGCTAGCTTTTTCGCTCTAGGGAGGTGTTAAGGCCTCATTTGCCAACAAATTGAGTGAGACGTGCTTTATTTTTCGACAGGTTTCAAATTCACCGAAAACGCACCCCTAGATGGCCGAAAACTTCTCGTTTTGTGAGATGAGACATTGTTCAAAAATACATTTTATAGTAGCTCAGCCTCAGCTTGTTCTTAATTTCTTTTTACTTTTGATCAATTTCGAGGCTTGGGTTCTTATAAAATTGTTCTTATAAAAAAAATGCAGATGGATTTACCTCCAAATATATGGATGCATATCAATGTCAACATAAATAATGGCAAATGGTGATGTTTATATCCAGGCTGATGCTTTTCGTCCCTCTCATTCTCATGAGAGCGACAAAGAAGTTAAAATGAAAACTGGATAAAGCGACAAAGTGGCACTGTTTGGTCCATAGGTATTCATAGGTCCATAGGCATAGGGTCTTCTTGGTATTCGGAAAAATCAATATCTTAATCATTGAGCAAATAGGATGAAATAAATTGAATTTTGTTAAATTGATGTTTTTCAAGTTAACTTTAGGTTTAGGTTGCAAAGAAAATATGCAGTATTTTTGAGTTTCTTCACTAGGTGCCTGTTTGCCAATACCGAGTTTTCTTTCCATTGTTATTTTATTACTAAACAGTTGGAGCATGGATAAAACTGGCTCCCGGTGCATGAAGGGTCTGTAGC